ATCGCACAATTCGCGGCGAAAATGGCGGGATATGACCAAAATCGCTGACATACACCCTCCGAGCGGCGGTCAGCCTTTGTTCATCTGCGACTTCTCGCCGCCCAGAGGCGCAGCCTACGACGACATAGATGCGGCGCATACACTTGCCGCTGATTGCCTCTCCGTGCCGTACAACCCCGGCAAGTCGGTGTACGCCAACTCAGCCTTTGCGGCGCATTCCATCAGAGCGGACACAGGCAAAGAAGTCGCCTTCACCATCGCGACACGGGACATGAACATACTTGCCGCCCAGAGCCTACTTTTGGGGGCTGCACAGCTCGGACTTCAGAACGTTTTAGTCGTGCGCGGCGATAACTTCACACCTGCAGAGCTGAGACACACCAAGCCCGTAAACGATCGCACAACTACGAGCCTCATACGCTCCATTACCAGTATGAACGAGGGCACGGACTTTCGAGGACGTGCGCTAGCGATGCAGACCGACTTTTGCATCGGCGCGGCGATTGACACCAACCGCGACATCGATTCAGAAGTCGCCCTCACCCGCAGAAAAATCGGTGCTGGAGCACACTTCCTCATCACACAGCCCGGCTTTACACCCGAAGGACCTCTGGATTTCCTCGAAGCCTACAGACGAACCTACGGCGAGCAGCCATCGATACCAATATACTTTGGAGTCCAGATGATAGCCGCCGCCAGCCGTTCATTCTCTCCAATCCCGCAGGCCATCCTCAATGAATTCGATAGCGGCGGATCCTCTGCAGACATCGCCGTCCGGTCCATTGAAAGATTCCTGGTCTCGGGCATCACATCCTTCTACCTCATGCCCCCCATACTGCCCGGCGGTGACCGAGACTACGAATCCGCCCGTCTTGTCCTGCGCCGCTTCAAGGCATCACCTTCTCAAGGTTCATGATGAGTCTGTCAAACTACCTGTCCCTATTGCAAGGGACCAACTGCCTCAATAGAAAAGCCGCCTTAAAAAGGCGGCTTAAATGCATCCTTCACATCTACGTCAGCCCTAGTCCGAAGATGGCAGTTTCCTTGGCTGCTGAACTTCCATCGATGCGCCGTTATAACGCAATTCACACTGCCCGGCCTTCGTAACCAGCACCGTGACACCCTCTTCATCGGCCTGATACCGCCGACCAAGGTTGATAGTCATCGCATCCGCACTTGTCGCTGCGCCATCAAACCCGCTGCCGGAATCTTTCTCCTGCAACGGAATATCCCCATCGGTCAACAACCCATCGCCGCCCTTTGTAACCACAAGCTCAGCGCCCGATGGAGTAACGTATCTACTTCCCGCCTTGATCATTCCTACTGTACCTCGCCTTGGAATAATTTTGATGCTGCCGCTGCGTGTCTCGGCTACCCCAGCATTCTACTCTCATTCCCAAAATTCTTCAAACCTTTGGCGGCTTGGCGATACCAACCATATGTCTTCGCACTGCGAAATTAGTGGACTCCTATCAGACTCGTTAAGGCTACGCACTTCGCACGGGCGCAAGGACTGCCTTCCGTGTAACATAGCCTCTCGCACGGCGACATGATACATTCGTGCCATTAGCCGTAACTCGGAGTTCCGAAATACTTTGCCATAAATGCCCATGAATTTAGCCAAACGACCGCTTTCTCTACTTTTCGCCCTAGCAGCATCCGCAGTTCTCTTGCTCACACTGCTGGCAGATAATGGCAGCATGAATCTGCACGCCCAATCAGCCGACACGCCCACGCCCGTTCCTACCACCGCGCCTGACGACGACTTCGGAGTCCAAAACCTCCCGCCCATCGAAGGCAAGCTCAGTCCGCCCAAGTACGGCAACATGGACTCCAACCTCAACCGCATCGTTGAGCAGGTACAGAGCGGTCAGTTCTCCGCGCAAGCCGCAGCCGCGAACGCTCCGCTCCACAGCGAAGAGTCCGTAGCCGTAACGCTCTACATCACCGAAGGCTACGCCGATGCTGTTGTAGATTTCCTCGAAGCCAACGGCGCTTCCCCCCGCAATGTCGGGACGGACTACATCGAAGCCTATGTCCCCGTATCCCTGCTACCGGAAGCGTCTGCGCGGGAAGGCGTTAACAGCATCCACTCGATCGTCCCACCTAAGCCGGCGCAGGGAGCGGTAGTCAGCGATGGCGTAGCACTGCACGGCGTACCCGCTTGGCACAGCGCCGGATACAGAGGACAAGGGGTTAAGATCGGCATCATCGACACCGGCTTCGAGGGATTCGGCGCCTTACAGGGAACCGAACTGCCCTCAAACGTGGAGGCAAGGTGCTACACGGATGTCGGTGTGCATACATTTAGTCTCTCCGATTGCGAGGCTGAAGGTGACAGGCACGGCTCTGCGGTTACCGAAGCAGCGTTTGATATTGCTCCAGAAGCAACCTATTACATCGCCAACCCAGTCTCCGGGGGTGATGCCCAAGACACCGTGGACTGGATGATTGAACACGGTGTGGAAGTCATCAATATGTCGATGCACTGGACCTGGAGTGGTCCGGGTGACGGCACGTCGCCTTTCGTAAACAGTGTAGTGAAATCCGTGGACAACGCTGTGGCCAATGACATCACATGGGTCAACGCTGCCGGGAATGAGGCACAGACTACATGGTTCGGCGACTTTACGGATACGGATGGCGATGGGCTGCATGAATTCAGCGGCATCGACGGTATTGACGAATGCAACAATTACGCATTGTATGTTGAAGGCGAGATAAGGGCGGCGAGGTTTATACGTGAGGTAGAACTCCTCATCCAGTTGCGATGGGACGACAGATGGGGCGGCGCAAACAAGGACTTGAACCTGATTCTATTCAAATTGAACGAGGGGTTGGAGCAGTATGAAATATATGTCCGATCTGTCTCAATGCAGTCTGGAGATGCGCATCACACCCCATATGAGCGCATAAAGGTAACTGTCCCCGCAGGGGTTTATTGCTTAGCCATTCACCATTCCAGTGGCTTACGCCCAAACTGGATACAGATTCAAGACTTTAATGGATTCCTTTTACAGCATCACACATTGCATCACAGCATGGGCAGCCCGGCGGAGAGCGGGAATCTGGGCCTGCTCGCAGTGGGCGCGGCGCCTGCGTCCGACATAAACTCAATCGAGAGGTACAGTAGCCAAGGCCCAACGACTGATGGCAGAGTGAAGCCTGACATCGTTGGCGTGGCGCGCGGGCAGTCTGTGTCTTACCGTTCAGCAGAGAATCCCGATGGCCGCTGGGCTGGAACTAGCCAGGCCTCACCGCATGTCGCCGGCATGGCTGCGCTGGTGAAGCAGCGCTTTCCCGAATATAGCTCGCAGCAGGTCGCCACTTACCTGAAGAATCACGCAGAGGCGCGCGGGGCAATCCCCAACAATACCTGGGGCTACGGGTTTGCTAGGCTGCTCGCCTCCGATGTTGCTACACCAGAGCCAACTGCAACACCTGGGCCAACTGGGACGCCAGAGCCGACTGCTACGCCGGAACCGACGAGCACACCTGAGCCAACAGCTACAGCTACCCCTATCGCCGACAGTTGCATAGAGTTAGTCTCCGAAGGCGGATCTGTCGACGGAAGCTGGGCTACTTGCGAATCTTCGCACCCTGATCGTGGTGGCGGGTATGCCCGCTTCTATGCCTTAATCCTTGCGGAAGCCTCTGATGTAACCATTGCGCTGGAGTCTTCTACAGACCCATACCTGTACCTACGCGAAGGCGTGGGTAGAGGGGGCACGGTATTGTGCGAGAACGATGACTACGCCTTGGAAGTAGCGGGTACATTGTGCAGCAAGATCGATTCCAACCTTGATACGGGCACTGACTCGGGTATGGTAGTAAGCTTGGCGGCAGGTGCCTACACCATAGAGGCGACGACCTACGAGGCGGAGGTTACTGGCAGTTTCACGCTGACAGTGGAAGTTGAAACATCGGCGGTGCAGCCCCAGCCGTCACCCACCCCTGAACCTTCGCCTACGCCTGAACCGTCACCGACCCCGGGGCCATCACCGACGCCAGGACCATCGCCCTCTCCGACGCCCGTTCCCCTGCCTCCAGACTATAATATCGAAGACGCGGCCTGCAACGCCGCCGACCTAACGGGCATCGAAGGCTTTTCTCTTGACAGGACCGACGGACCGCATAGCTATGATGATTTCGGCTACCACGGTATCGTCCAAACTTACGTCACAGAATGGGTGAACGCCGACGATAGTGCCGGAATAGTATGCGCTGCAGTTCAATACAATAGCATCGAGAACGCACGATGGAGCAGCCTAAACTACTCGGCTATCCTGCAGAGAAACGGCGCGAGTGTCGATCTCCGGGATTACGAACAGGACTTCATACCTAGCATCGGCGATGACATGCTGGCATACAAGTTGCATTATCACACCAACAATGACTTCCACACCTTAGCTACGGTGAGATTCCTAGACGCCTCTACCATCACACTTACGAGAGTGACATATCATGCATTCGGCACAGACGAATATCCAAGCATTGCAGAACCAGAGGGTATTGCCAAGAAAATAGCAGCCCGCGTCATACCAACAGACGATGCCACATCTCAGAGCGAAAGTGCCCACCTTTCCAGTGGGGTGCTGGAATCCTTCGACTGGAATCGCTGACCACGTGGAACTTACAACTAGGAGGGTGACTACCGCCCTTGCTCAACGCTATTAAGCAAGGGCGGTATATCTTTCTATTTTGATTTACTCCAAACCGGCCTTACCATCCCCAAATATCCCTTTCCGTCCTGCCGATTCGCTCAACCCACTTCCACTCCACTCGCTGCTGCATGCTGCTCGTCCGCGTGATACGAACTCCGCACCAGCGGCCCGGACGCCACATGCCTGAATCCTAGCGCCTCGCCCTCGAGACGCAGTTCGTCGAACTCGCCCGGGGTGTACCACCGCGCCAGCGGCACATGCTTACCTGAAGGGCGCAAATACTGCCCAATCGTCAGCAGATCACAGTCAACAGACCGCAAGTCCCGCATCGTCTCCAGAATCTCGTCCCAGCTCTCGCCAAGCCCGACCATCATCCCCGATTTGGTGACCGCATCTCTGTCCAGCCTCTTGGCGTTCGCCAGCAGCTCCAGCGACATGTCGTAGTCACCCTTCGGACGCACGCGGCTGAACACTCGCCGCACTGTCTCAATATTGTGGTTCAGGGTATCCGGCTTCGCTTCCATAACCTTCGCCAGCGCATCAGGGTCCCCCTCGAAGTCTGGTATCAGCACCTCCACCTTGCACGAAGGCAGACGCTTTCGAATCTGTCGGATACACTGCGCGAATATGAAAGCCCCGCCGTCCGGCAGATCGTCTCGGTCCACCGATGTGATGACCGCATATCGCAGCCCTAATCTCTCCACGGTTTCCGCCAGTCGCACCGGTTCCTGCAAGTCTAGCGTCGTCGGCATACCCGTCTTCACCGCGCAGTACGAACACGCGCGTGTGCAGATGTCCCCCAGTACCATGAAAGTAGCAGTTCCCCGGTCCCAGCACTCCCCAATGTTCGGACAATGAGCCTCTTCGCAAACAGTGTTGAGCCCCTCCGACCTCACGAGCTGCCTAAGCTCCAGGTAGCCCGCACTGCCCGGCGCCTTCACCTTCAGCCACTCCGGTAGCCTTCTCGCAGTAGCCATAATCCCTCCAATTCAGAACTGCCGCCATGATACCAGATTGCGCCGACACTGCGACAACTCGCCAAATCAGATAAAGGGCTACGGCAGTAGAGGATTTCGTCGGTTGGCGTTATGATATGGCGAAATCAATAACAATTCAGGAGGTCAGAGCGACTTATGGCAGAATACATACCTTCACCGGCCGATTGGGTGCGCGAGCAGGTGGAACTATACGAAGGAAGCGGAGGCACTGAAGGCACGACCTTGCGTGAAACCGGACTACCCGTCATTATTGTGACCAATCGCGGTAACCGCACCGGCGCAATCCGCAAGACGCCACTCATGCGCGTCAAGGACGGCGATAACTACATTCTAGTTGGCTCGCGAGGAGGCGCCCCCACCAACCCGGTGTGGGTGTACAACCTTAGGGCGCATGCCGATGTCGAAATTCGAGATGAGACCGAAGTGTACAAGATGAGCGTCCGCGAAGTTGACGACGCCGCAGAACGTGCGCGTCTCTGGGAAATATGTGTAGCCGCCTTCCCGCCCTATAAAGACTATCACAACCGCACATCCCGCACGATTCCCGTCTTCGTTGCGGAATCCACCTAATTAAAGCTCTCGAAATATATTAATAAGCAAAGCAAAAGCCCCCACAAGTAAGTGTGTACTCGTGGGGGCTGAATATTGAACACTTGTAGCCGGATTCGTAAGCCTAGAGAGAATAGTACCTCACGCCGGCCTGAGGCATCCTGAAGTACCAAGGCCTGTCGGCCAAATCCCTCTTTGTCCGCGACTGTTGGGACTCTTCCAGTAACACTTCAATCTCTTTCTTCGCCTTGGAATTGAGCCTGTCACTGCTAACTACCGCTTGTCCTTGCCGCTCTAGAATCGCTGCTTCTGACATAGACCCACCTCCTTCAAGAGTGTACGTATCAAATCTAGCACTTGATACAACTTGTGTCAACATAGTGTTATTTTTCACATTTACTTTTGTCATATATTTCACAAAGTGCCACGGCTGGTGTTCTGAGAATCGCAACACTCGGAATTGGTTTCACGAATTATCCATGCTACGATGGCTGCATTCCCAGACCTCAGGAACTAAAATCGGCGTCTAGGCTTCCACATTGATTGCCGATAGAACTGGATTGCCCTCGCTATCCACGCCAAACTTCAATATCTTGGTAATGCCTGACAAAGTTCTCGTCTATGAAACGGACCACCCACGACGGCGAAATCTTAACGAACCGCTCCAAGGGCGACACTCCTACCGAAATCGCCGAACTACACCTCCATGCATGGGGCGACCTGGGCGACACCTTGGCGCACTTCGAGGAGAGCGAAATCAACGTCTTTGGCGGCATACCCGGCGAGCGGGTGCAAGCCCGCATCATCCGCTACCGTCGCAGACGCCGCCAGCACATATCCGCTATCGTAACTGACGTCCTCGAACCGTCACCGCACCGAATCACGCCGCCCTGCCCATACTTCACCGCATGCACAGGCTGCCAGTGGCAACATATCGCTTACGATCACCAGCTCCAACTCAAGCAAGATCGCGTCAGACTGGCGCTCGCCGAATACCCTGAACTGCACGGCATTCCCGTCTCGCCCACGCTGCCAAGCCCCCAGATGTTCGGCTACCGCAACCACGCGCGCTTTACCGTCCGCGATTCCGGCATGCTCGGCTTCATCAACCGCCTCACCCGCCGCTTCGTCAAGATTGATGACTGCGCCCTCATGAACCCTTGGATTAACGAAGCCCTACGTGAACTGCAAGGCAAGGCCGGCGAGACGACCCAGCTTTCCGTTCGCTACGGCGTCAACACCGGCGACTGGCTCATCCAGCCCACTATGCACAATCCCGACATCCCCCTTCCCACCGGCCAGGCTTACTACTGGGAGCAAATGCTTGACCGCCGCCTCCGCATCGCATCCCCGTCATTCGCGCAGGTCAACACGCCGCAGGCAGAACACCTCGCCACACTCGTCGCGGAGCGCCTCCAACTCAGCGGCAACGAACTGCTCGTTGACGCATACGCAGGCGTCGGCACGTTCGCCGTACTTCTGGCCGACTCCGCCCACCACGTCATCGCGATTGAAGAGTCTTCCGCAGCCGTCAAGGACGCAGCCGTGAACACCGTCGGCATCGACAACCTCGAATTTATAGGCAGCAAGACAGAGGACTACCTAGACTCCCTGACAGAGCCTCCCGACGCAGTAATCCTTGACCCGCCCCGGGTCGGCTGCCACCCCGCTACGCTAGATGCCCTTATCCGCAGGAAGCCAATTCGCACCGTCTATGTCTCCTGCGACCCCGACACACTCGCCCGCGACCTCGCCTACCTCGTGCAGGGCGACTTCGTCATAGAATCAGTGGAGCCGATGGACATGTTCCCCCAGACCTACCACACTGAATGCGTGGCAACGTTGGTCGCGTCCGATATTCACGGCATTGGCAAATACTGATAACTGCTGACCCTGATGGTGTAAAATAGGCACATGCCAAATCATTTGCCCATGAACGGAACAGTCCCCCAAGGCAGAACATTGACGCTTGCATCAGGCTCACCTCGCCGCAGACGCCTCATCGAAGCCATCGACATGCCGATAAGAATAGTCGGCAGCGGCAACGATGAGCCACTACCATACAGCGTTGAATCTCCCCAAGCATACGTCCAGCGCCTCGCCTTGATCAAGGCAAGACACGGACTCGCTCAGGCGCAGGCTGAGTTAGCCCTCGGCGCGGACACCTCGGTTGTTATCGACAGGTACATCCTAGGCAAGCCCACAGACGCCGCCGAAGCAACCAGAATGCTGAGACGCCTGCGCGGTCGGTCACATAGCGTCGTCACCGGTATCGCTCTTGCAGATGCGGCAACCGGCGTTGAACTCACATCGGCGAAGGTCAGCAGAGTCCATATGCGCGAATACACTGACGAGGAAATCGCCGCCTATGTAGAATCTGGAGAGCCCTTCGACAAGGCGGGCGCATACGCAGTCCAGGACAGGCGCTTCAAGCCCGCGAGCCGCATCTACGGATGCTACCGGAATACGGTTGGACTGCCATTGTGCGACGTTCTTACCCTGCTGGAACGCATCGGTACTCCCGCCACCTTCAAGCAGGGCTGGACAGCGCCACGCGGGTGCCCAGACTGCGACCGCTGGCACAGCATCACCAGCCGGGAAGCAGAGGTGAACCGACTATGAGCTTCCTCGGCATGGGAACGATGGAGATCTTCATCATCTTACTCGTCGCTTTCATATTCCTCGGGCCGGAGCGCATGGTTGACGCCGCCAGAACCCTCGGCAAGTGGACCGGCGAACTGCGCCGTATGGGTTCGACCGTGCAGGCAGAGATGGACGATCTGGTGAACGTGGACTCTCCGCTTGCCACCCGACAGAGTCGCACAGAAACCACAAGTGATTCGGGCGCGGCGACGCGACCCCTCGACCAAGACCATCCAGCAGACGCAGCAGACGCCTCAAGCTCTGCGACACCTGGTGTGGACAGTCCAGTAACCTTTCGTAGAGCCACAGCCGAAACCTCTCAGCAGTCTGGCGATGGGGAGCAGAGCGCCCCAAGGGAGGAAAGTGCATGAGTTCCGAAGGAGGTGTGCCTTTTCAGGATCACATCACAGAACTTCGACGGCGCGTGATGTACTCTGCGATTGCAGTTCTTGTCACGACTGTCATTGCGTTCGTCTTCCACGAACAGGTTCTCACTCTCCTCATGCAGCCCGCGCAGGGCTTCACCGACATTCCTGGCGGCAAGCCCATATACACCGATCTCACCGAGTTCATCAGCACCGCGATGAAGGCGTCCCTACTTGTGGGCCTTTTCGCCGCTATGCCCTTCGTTCTCTATCAAATTGTCAGGTTCGTCTCGCCGGGTCTGAACCCATCTGAGCGCCGCTACCTATACGCCCTGATGCCCGCAGTCGTGGTAGCGTTCATCCTCGGCGCGGCATTTGGGTACCGTGTACTCTTCCCGCCTGCCATACATTTTCTACTCAGCTTCGGCAACGAAATCGCCACTCCATATATTCGCATCGGAAACTACGTCAGCCTGATGATTTCGACTTCTGCTTTGGATGGGAGTTGTGTTCGAGACGCCTATCGTGCTCTTTTTCCTGTCGCGAATCGGCATCGTATCGCCTCAGCAGCTTGGGAGGCAGCGTCGCTATGCCGTCGTTGTCGCCTTCATCTTGGGCGCGCTCATCACACCCACATTCGATCCCATCAACCAGACCCTAGTTGCACTCCCTATCATCGTCCTATACGAGGTCGGAATCTGGCTCGCCAAGTTCGGTGCGAGGCAGAGGAACCGTCAACGTGCAAACGAATTTGGCTAAGCACTGCCCACTCTGCCGTTGATGCGGCGCATGCCAGTGTAGAAAGCGCTGTTCTGGTGCGAGTTGCGTGTCGCCACGGCTTGGCATAACATCTTCTCGACACTTTCAGACAGAAGGCCATTTTCGCTGTGAGGAGACTTGTACGATGAAGATCACGAAGGTCACGCCTTGGGTTGTCAGCTTTCCCTGGGAGATGCGCACGGGAGTTGAGCAGAAACCCGAAGTCAGAGACCGCCAGCTGGTGTTCGTACAGGTTGATACCGACGAAGGAATCACCGGTTGGGGTGAGGTCACGACCTATCCCGGACCAGTGGCCAATCGCGCAATCGCCGCCATGATAAGAGAAGTGAATGATTATCTAGTGGGCGAAAACACTAACGAGTTTGAACGGCTTTGGCAGAAGATATTCCGCTCATTCACCTACCTCGGCACTAGAGGGGCAGTATCAGCCCTCATAAGCGGTATTGACATTGCGCTCTGGGACATTCGGGGTAAGGAGCTTGGACTGCCGATTTATGAACTTCTGGGCGGCCCAGTGCGCGACAGAATCGCGCTCTACACTCATCCGCCTGAACCCCGCAACGTCCCGGACGCCATAGCCGATGCAAGGCAGATCGTGGAAGCGGGGTATGAGGCGTTCAAATTCGATCCGATGATGCGCTTCATACCGGGCGGAAACGAAGGCTTTCTTGACGGTCAGCTCAGCAGAGAGGGGACTAGCGACTGCCGACGAGATTGTAGGCGCGGTTCGAGAGGCAATAGGTCCGGACATAGAGATACTCATAGATGCACACGGCATGTACAACGTACCGACGGCCATCGAACTTGCGAACAGACTGGCGAAGCACGGCATCCACTGGTTCGAGGAGCCGGTGCCGGTAGAGAGCTATCGAGCCCTTCAGCAGGTCAGGCGAGAGATTCCCGTCAAAAATCTCTGTCGGCGAGCGACTTCATACGCGCTGGGAGTTCGTTCCAATCTTCGAGAATAACCTCGCAGACTTCATCATGCCCGATGTCACCTGGACTGGCGGCATAACTGAACTGAAGAAAATCTCCACGATGGCTGAGGCGTACTACATTCCGGTCTCTCCGCACGACGCGAGTGGGCCGATCAATGTGCTTGCGGGAGCGCACGTGATGATGACCACGCCGAACTTCTACAAGTTGGAGACTTCACGCTACGACCTCGGCGCATACGGCGCGTTCATCGAACCTGGACTGGACATAAGAAATGGTGACCTCTTTGTTCCCAACACTCCAGGGCTCGGTGTAAATGGATATGGACTACTTGCACTCGCATGTCGTGTTCGGCGGTAATTAAGGAACGGCTCGCAGTATGTCATCACATTGCGGCTGCCAAGCCAATGCGGGATTGATCGACAACACCTGTGGGCGCCGTCCCGAGTCTGCAAACTTAGGTTAGTTGTGGCTACCGCGTCATCCTGCCTGCAGCCGCCCCTGATAACGGGAGGACGAGAAATATCACTGCCGCAAGGCCGAATAGGCATGCAACGTAATAGACCACCGCGTCGAATCCCATATTGTCGTACAAGTTTCCGGCAACGAATGGCGAAATCACCGACATAAGCGCACCAAAGAACGAGACCATCCCAAGCGATGTTGACCCCACATCACTGTCCGATATGTCAAAGACGGCGGCAGTTAATATCGGCTGGTCGGGATAAAGAAAAAGCCCAAGGAGCGCTACGGTAATAGTGAACGGGACGCCCGTATCGAATATGAGCAGCGCGACAGCGACAGCACACGACCAGATTAGTCCGGGGCCCAGCACCTGTCTGCGCCCTACCCTGTCCGACAAGTAACCGAACAAAGGCTTTGCCACAATCCCGATTGCTATGAGGAGGCCTATGTGAACGCCTCTCACGGTTGGGCTCACCATAAGGTCGTTGTTAAGGTAAAGAGGGAGGGCAGTAAGCAACGCCACAAGAGCCATTGCACGCAGTCCGTAAACTGCCGACAGTCCCCACAAAATGGGGCTTCTCAGCAGTCGGCGGGCTTCATCCACCTGTCTAGTGAGCTTGACACTCTCCTTTTCCTCTGTGTACCCGATATTGCTGAACGCCCACAAAGCTACTGCGCCTAAAAATAGGGCTGGCAACGCGTATATGTTCAGCATTTCCCGCCAGGTCAGAAATGCCAGCAGTGCGCCACTTGCAACGGGTCCCGCAACATCCCCCAGGCTGCCGCCAACACCATGCATTGCCATTGACGCACCGCGTCTTTCCTTAAAATGATGGGAAAGTGAAGCGGCAGCCGGTAGGTGCCAAATGGAATGGGACGCCGCAATTACGACCATTCCAACCAGCAGGAGAGGATAGATGGGAGAGATTCCAATGGTCAGAACACCCAGGGCCAATGCGCCGAGACTCCCGGCAAGAAGTATCCCCCAGTAGTTTCGCAGGACGTCCACCGCCACACCACCAGGAAGTCTCACAATCGCTGTCGCAAACTCTCTCGCCGCGAGGATTCCCCCAACACCGACTCCACTCAAATGAAACGCGCTCTGAATTTCTGGAAGCGCAACGACAAAACTCTGAACGCACCAGTGAAACACCGCATGACCCGCCTGTGAGGCCTGGTATTATGGCGCGGCCTCCAAGCACCATAGTCGGCCTGTTCGATAAATCACCGTTGTCGTTGGTCTGCATCACATCTTTCCCTCATTGTAAAAGATGACTAAATTGGCTGTTTGGCTGATAGGTTGGCAGGCGGATAATAGGCGCTTGCGTCACTATGACGCCAGTGCGCGATGAACGTGCTCAAGATACCATGAAGTCCGACCGGTCTCCAATTCGATAGCGCCGGGCTGTCATTGCTGTTCTCGTCCACTAATAGAATTGTCGAGGAAATTCGTTCTACTTAGTACGGTTCTCATTGAACTATGCTTCCACAGGAGCATCTGGACGATTCACACATTCAGAAAATCAACGGACAGGACATCCGGCTTCTTTCACAGGGCTGAAGTTTAGCCCCTAATCTGCTCTTATATCTCGCTTCTGCACTGCAGCAATTTCTACGATACAATGCAAAAGTGAAAACAGATTTTGATAGGAGACGATCACAAAATGGCACGCATTACGCAGATTACGGAACGCAATCAGGTAGATGCTGACAAACACCACATATTTGACGCCATAGCCACAAGTCGCGGGCGGGTAAGCGGCCCATTCTCCGTGCTGCTGAACAGCCCGGAGGTTGCTGGACGCGCTGCGCACCTTGGGTCCTACATTCGTTTTGAGTCCACACTCTCGCCCTCGCAGCGCGAACTGGCAATAATCACCACCGCACGAGAATTCGATTGCTCCTATGAGTGGGCAGCCCACGCCACGTTAGCGCGGGAAGCGGGCGTGCACGAGGCAGTTATCGATACCGTGGCAAATGGCGGTGAACTCGGCGAACTCAGCGACGACGAAGCGCTAATAATAGGCTACGGGCGCGAAATTCTTAGGAACCATCGGGTTTCAGAGGACACATTTGCGGCGGCAAAGGCGCAATTCGGAGAGCAGGGCGTAACCGAACTTACCGCCACAATTGGCTACTACGGCATGCTCGCATGCGCTTTGAACGCATTCGAAGTGCAACCCTCGCCCGATATGCCCCAGCTTCCCTAACCATCCTTTGGCTTGTCTGAGCGTCGGTAGCGCAGCGCCGCCACAGTACCCACTATGACCAGAGTGGCCAGCATCCAAGGGCTGACGGCAGGTATTGGCAGTTGGTGTTGGCCTCGGTAAGAAGGTAGGAGTGGCTTCCGGTGTTGGAGTGGGCAAATCCAGCCCTAGCGACGCTTTCGCAACTGGCTGGGTTTCGCCATTGCTGTTGTAGTAAGCAACACTTAGCCTACTCCTGTTCCTGACACGCACCCGACCATCGCCCTTTGACAGGCTTGCAGGGTCGTCGCTGATCCGGAAATACACCGCGGTACAGGTTTGAAGCCGCGGCAGGCGATGAGTCCCTCTCACTCGTAACTTCTCTGATTGAGACCCATTCGCCATCTTTATCCGAGCTGCTATAGACTCTTGCGAGCTTAGCCTGCGCCGAGAACGTATCTACGACTTCGTAGTGGAAATCGATACTGACCGTACTACCCTTAGGGGCATCAGTGCGTATGGATACTAACCCGAACTGTGCGCGTCCTCCAGTGTCCGGGACTTCAATAGACGGACTAACTTCTGCGTCATTAAGTGAAGCGTGTAAAGGCACGCTCAGCGCTGTGGTACCGTCGTAATCGCATCCCTCGCGTGAAAATGCGCTTGGAACAGGATCGCCCGTAACGACATTCCAAGGCATGAATAAATCATTGTCATTGGGGTCAGCAGCATCGACGTCGTGAGGAATGTCCGCCCATCTGACTGAACACTGCCCAGTAGTGCCGAGGTAGTTGTCGCGTATGTAAAACGCTACCATATCTCCGCTACGTTTAGGCGTGTTGGCAATCTTGACATCAACCACCCTTTTCGGAGGCCCCGGGGTGTTAGTTGGGGTAGGAAACGGGTCACCATGCAACCCTGGGACACTTGTCGGAGTGGGCCTAACGGCGGGAGGTGGGATCGGTGGCGGTGAAGTGTCGGAGGTCGCTTTGACTTCCCCATCCTCATTCAGGTAAGCAACGCTGATCGTATCTCCGCTGGGAACCCACACCTTATCATCGCCCTCACCTTTCACATCGGAGTTCCTGCTCACACCCACATTGCCCTGAAACAGGTTTGAGGTCGCAGATGGAGCAGAATCGGATTCGCTGACAACCTCCGTAAGGCCTGCCCACTCTCCTTCTGTGTCAGAACCGGTGGTGATGCGCACTCTCTTTGTGTCGGCATCGTACGCATCGACAACATGGAAGTAATACCTGACCTCGAATCGGCTCCCTGCCTCAAGGTCCGCATAGAGCTGAAACTCTGTGGTTTCGGCAAAATTCACCGGATCGTAACTTACTAAGGTCGCTACACCATCGTCGAAGGCCTCCGGCGCAGGGTCTGCAACTATCCATGAGAACTCATTGAATGAACATCCACTGCTTGTCGAAAAGACGCCGCTTCGGGAGCGCCTGCCCTGAGATTAAACGTAACCGCATCAAGCCCTTCGTAGCTTGAGCGAACGCCGTCCCAGATAGCTACGCAGGAATGAATCGTGCCAAGACTTCCGTCTCTCACATGAAATGCAATCTCACCGTCACCTGAAGGAATCGGGCCCGCGAGCCTGACGGTGACAATCTCGTCTGGGTGCCGGCCTATTTGGAATAGGTGGCCGAGGTATCAGCGGCGTATGGGTAGGCGTTCGCGTTGGCGAAGGTGTCGGGGACGCTGTAGGTGTTACCGTGTGAGTTGGTGTTGGTGTTAATGTGACCGTCGGCGTGGAAGTCAATGTCGGCGTTACGGTATGGGTCGGTGTCTGTGAAGGAGTGCTGCTAGGGAGAGGGAGTCGGTGACAGTGTAGCAGTGGGTGTAGCTGTCTGAGTTTTCGTAGGTGTAAAGGTTACGGTAGGAGTGGGCGTAGCCGTGTAAGTTGGTGTGGGTGTACTGGTCGCCGTCGGTGTCGGAGTTTGCGTCGCGGTAGCTGTAGCCGTGGCGGTGGCAGTGGATGTAGGAGTGAACGTGCTTGTAGAAGTTGGAGTGGGCGTACTCGTTGGTGTAGCTGTGGCTGTATTGGTCGGGGTAGCAGTCGGCTGTTGGGCGTTGCGGCCCGTTCGGGCTAGCTACAACCACATTGGATATAACATAGTCGGTTAGGCTCTTCTCTGTCCAAACCCTTACCTGATACTCTGTGCCGTTTGTTAATGGAGCATCGAATATCTGCGTAATACTGAATTTGCGCCTGTCCTTTTCCATGACCATTCGGGGGCTTACATATCGCTCCCAAGCTTCCGTAATGCGCTCACGCCATTGGATCGACATATTCACGAAAGCGGAAATACCTATAAGTTCCCACTCCGCATCAAGACGACTGTCACCGGGCGTAATCTTCAGCTCAATTGCAGGAACGGGTGTGTTCGTCGCAGTTGGCGTATCAGTGGCAGTGGGAGTAGCGGTTGGTGTATTGGTAATGGTCGGTGTAAGTGTGGAGTAGGGTAGGGTAGTCGTCGGTGTTGCAGTAGCGGTGGGAGTAGGGGTCGGCGTGGGAGTGTGGGTAGGCGTTGGCGTAACGGTTGCCGTATGCGTCGGCGTAGGTGTAGGTGTATCGGTTGGCGTGGGAGCCACCTCTCCCGGGCTGACCACGACCACATTGGAGATTACATAAACTATTGATTTATCCGACGCAGTGTACTCTACCCACACCCTCACCTGATACTCTGTACTGTTGGTCAAGTCTTCATTAAACCAATCTTTCTCATCTTCGTCCCACCTAATAACGAAATCAATATTGAATTCACGAGTGCTTAAATCAGGAAGGTTTACGCGTGGCGGATCATCTCTCGGATGCCATTCCGCAGACGAGCGTTCCCGCCACTGAATGGACATGTAGTTAAAGTCATCGAGTCCTGTCAGTTCCCACTCGGCATCAAGCTCCATGTCGCCGGGCGTGACAGTTAATTCGATTGCTGGCGTGCCTGTCCCAGACCGAAGCTCAGGTGTCGCTCCAGCCACAAGGTCTATCCACGCCGCTCCCCCAAATGCCACCGCAAGTACAATTGCTATAATACGTAGCAGGCTGGCACGCATCATATTCCTGCATCTAATATTATCGGGTCAAATCACTATTTCGCACTTGACGAAAGTTAATTCATTGCCAACAATATGTCAATCGGCAGTGCAAGACGCTATACATAAAGGCGTCAGACACGGACAAGCATAGAGAAAGAAGCGCAAGGAAGCCGAATGGGCGCCAGAGAATAAAGATGAGTACGCAGATAAGACCACTGACCGAGTCGGATGCTCGAAATCTATCACGCGCTGCGTCTCCGCGCGCTCAAAGAGCATCCGACCGCCTTCGCGCAACCTTACGAATCTCAGGCATCAACCTCAATTGTGATGTGCACATCGGCTGCGCGAGGCGTCGGAGTCACCACATGACTTCATTCTCGGCATATTCTCGGGGGAAGCGCTGATCGGAATGGTAGGACTTCGGCGCGAACGCGGCGACAGGTTGCAGCACAAGGGCACCATCTGGGGAATGTACATCGCAGCTGAAGTTCAAGGGCAAGGGTTGGGAAGGGCGCTGATACGAGAAGCCATTAGACGCGCATCACACATGCCCGGACTGGAGCAAATTAGCCTTGGCGTCATAAGTGGCAACGCCTATGCGCGTAATTTGTACATTTCGCTCGGCTTTGAGCCGTATGGACTTGAAAAGCGTGCGATCGTCATCAACGAAGAGTACCACGATGATGAACTGATGCAGATGTTCCTAAATCAGAAAGGACAGGCAAGCCACACCTAGTTCATGCGTATGCCGCCATTCACGTTCAGCGACTGCCCGGTGATGTTGATAGCGTCGTCTGAAGCGAAGAACGCAACCGCCTTGCCAATGTCTTCCGGCGTCTGCTCTCTGCCAAGCGGGCACCGCTCCATAATCGCCGCATCAAATATTTCGCGCGGTGTAAGTTGCTGCTGCTCAGGTCTGTTTCGCTGCGTGCGGACAGCAATTCGCTCCCACATCGGCGTCCATATGCTTCCCGGACAGATCGCATTTACATTTATGTCGAACGGCGCAAGGTCCATCGCATAAGACTGAGTAAGGTGAATGACCGCGGCTTTGGAAGCGCCATAAGCGCCCCCACCCGCCCCGCCACCACGTCCCGCGTGCGAGGCAATGTTCACGATCTTGCCGAAGCGCCGCTCCTTCATGTGCGAACTTACCGCGTCGGATGCCAACGCCGTGCCTTTGACATTCACATCGAAGGTCAGGTCCCAGTCCTCTTCCCGTGAGGTGGTCGTATCCTCAAAGCCTGCGGCGCCGATAACGCCCTGCAGCGTTGACAAGAATGTCGATGCGCCCAAAGTCAGCCAGCGTTGAATTCACTATTTCACGCAACTGTGATTGGCTGGTTACATCAACTTCGTATGCCGTCGCTTCCCGCCCAATGGCAGCTATATGACCTGCAGTCTGCTGCGCTCCGTCCAGATTGATGTCGCACACTGCTATGTCGGCGCCGCGCTCCGCCAATACGAGAGCGATACCTTTGCCCAAGCCCCTGGCGCCGCCGGTTATCAAAGCAATTCTATCTTCCAGTTGCATTTGACGCCTCCTCATACTTGCAGACCTCTGGTTTCGTCACACCCCGCCAATATTTCACCTACTCTACGATCCCCTACCGAAAGTGCGTTGTGGCGTGCCGGGATACAGAGAGAAATGCGAATGTACCGCAAGCCAGATGCCGTCGCGCCTTTCAAGTGTGACAGTCGCCCGCCCTGGCCGATAAAAGGGTTCGTGGTTGCCATCGAAGCCTAGGGATGTCCAGGTGACGACACCCCACGCCTGATTGCCGCTTCCACCAGCATGCACATTGTCCAAGTCCATCTTGAAATTGCTGATATTCCCCCAGATACTTTCCCACTGCCCTTCGCGCAGAGACTTGCGCCCGCTCACAATGTCCATAGCAGTGCCGAACGACACCACATCATCGGCGAATATGCACTCCGCGCCGTCGTAATCCACGCTAGCGCAACATTGTTCCATCAGCGCAAACCATTGTTGAACTGCTTCTATGGGGTCGCTGCTCACTACGATCGGATTAGCATCAGTCATTCCGATATGGCCTCTTTCCATTTATAATTGCAACTTACAATCGAGGCGATATATCTAGCTTTGCCCCATCCAGTCCGATATACGCTCAGCAATCATGATCGTCGTAACATTGGTGTTTGCGCGTATCACATCGGGCATAATAGAAGCGTCCACCACTCTCAAGCCATCGATGCCATGCACCCTGCCGTACTGATCGACCACCGCCATCTCGTCTGACGCCGGGCCCATCTTGCAGGTGCCCGAAGAGTGATGCTGCGTCAGAACATTGTCAAGCAGCCAACGATCAAGCGCATCGTCAGACTTCAGATCATCATCGTTTGGCGAGATTCGCGCAATCCCGACATCTGCAAATGCGCTGCTTTCCGCAAGCTCCGCGCACAGCCTGATTGCGCCACGCAACCGCTCACCATCAAACGGATGCGTCAGATAGCGGTAGTTGAGATACGGCTGCTGGTGCGGATCGGACGAGTTCAAGCGCAACTCCCCCGAAGAAAGCGCCTTTTGCAGCGCGATGCTGAATCCGGTTGGCGTAATGTCGCTAGTAAGGTCGAAGTTAATCGGCATGTGCTCTGTTCGCACATGCAGAGGACGCATCTGCATATCGTTGCGAAACTCCGAGCCGGGGGTAGTGTACCGCATCCCAATCTGCAACGCGGGAGAGCCAGGGGGAATAGGCTCTGCGCTCTCATACAACATAAATACCGCTGGATGGTCGCGGAGATTCTGCCCTACTCCGGGAAGGTGAAGCGTAAGTGGCACGCCGACCTCAGCCAAATGTTCGCGCTGTCCGACGCCCGATAACATCAGCAGCTGCGGCGAGTTAATAGCGCCTCCGGACAGAACCACCTCATCCGCGTCTATCGCGAAGACTTCACCGCCGCTCTCCACCTCCACGCCGACAGACCTTACGCCGTCGAATAGAACTCGCCGAGCCAGCACGTCCGCCCTAATAGTTAGATTCAGCCTGTGGCGCGCCATCTGCAAATATGTGAGGGCCGTGCTCATCCGAATACCGTCCACACGGTTCAGGGCATAATAACCTACACCTGTGGATTCAGGGTGGTTCATGTCGTGCGTAAAGGGAAATCCCGCCGCCTGAGTCGCTTCCAGAAAAGCGGTAGGAACAGGTAGCAGTTCATCCTGATTGTACCGCCGCACGGGAATCGGGCCGTTGGAGCCATGAAAGTCATCGCCCTGGAAGTCGAGGGTCGTTCTCCATCTTGCGGAAATAAGGCAACAGCTTGAGAAAAGACCACTCACCGTTGCCCCGCCGCAGACCAGTCGTCATAGTCCTCCGGGATGCCCCGGAAGAAGACCTGACCATTGATTGCGCTCGAACCTCCCGTAACCTTGCCCCTCGGCAGCCGAAAAGACGGTCTCTCCGGAGTCGCCTGCGCCTCATAGCCCCAAGTATGGGCATCGGCAACAGCCTGATTATACCAGGGCTGAACGCCGTACTTTATGTGGTCCGGCAGCCGCTCGAAGTCGGGATATCCGGCCCGGCCTCCAGCAGCAAAGCACGAGCGACCGGCATCCTCCGACAACCTGCTCGCCAGCACGCTGCCCGCAGAACCTGCTCCAATAATCACTGTGTCGTAGCGCATTTCGAACTCCATCGCGATAACCGCCTGAATTTGGAAGGCATTATACACCCCGCAACCTCGTGGACGCACAGCCGCGATCCTCTCCGTTCAGGCTTGACTTAGACATATATTTCGATTATAAGTAAGCCTCATAAGATGGCGCAGCGTGCGCGTGGATGAAGTTGTCAGTCTATCGTCATGTGGATTGTATCCAGGAGGAGGACTTAGTATGAACTGGAAACCTACATTGATCTTGGGCGCCATAGGTGCGCTCGCACTCTTAATAGCCGCGTGTGGAGGCGCGGCAGCCCCTGCGGCACCCGCTCCAGCTCAGCAAGCTCCGGCAGTAGCACCAGCTGCACCAGCCGCGCCGGCACCCGCTGCGCCGCAAGCTCCGGCAGCACCAGCTGCACCAGCTGCACCAGCGCCAGCTGCTCCGGCGGCGGCAGTAGTGCAGGCAGTAGCAGCGCCGCAGACCTTCAAGCCGACTGCGGTGCCTGTACGTGAGGCACCAGCAATGGAAGAGGTGGTTAAGCCATCTGGTACATTGGTTTTAGCAATAACCAGTGTCAACTCTCCCAGCGGCTTCCCAACAGACTGCTTGTGGTGTGCCTCACTTACGGTTGTATCAGCTCAAGAATCGCTGCTTCAGACGACTCGTGGCGCTGATGGCGGTATCACGGCAGCGCCATGGCTGGCAAAATCGTGGGAGACCGCGCCCGACTTTTCATACACAGACTTCATCCTAAATGAGGGAGTCCAGTTCCACAGAGGATGGGGCGAACTAACTGCGGAGGATGTGAAGTGGACTTACCATGCTCTTATGCCTTCCTTTACCGAGCAGGCAAGGCATGACAGTTCTGCAGAAATCGACCTTGCAATCAACAATGTCGAACCAATCGACACGTACACTGCCCGATTCCACTGGGACTCCTTCGCCGGGCATACGCTGACAGCTCTGTTCACAGACGCAAACGAGGGTACGGGAATCTTCCCGAAGATCGAAACCGTCAAGTCCGGGATTGGCGTTGCAACCGATGAAGAAGCCAATGAATGGATGCGCACCAACATTACTGGTACCGGCTCCTTCTCAATGGATGGCTGGGTTGTTCAAGATGGTATGTACCTAACCGCTTTCACTGACCACTGGGAGAAAGTCCCATTCGTCGAGCAGGTCAGAATCCGCGAGGTGCCCGAGGCATCTACCCGCCGGGCTATGCTGGAGAGCGGAGAGGCACAGATTGCAGGTCTCGCATTGAAGGACTGGCCGGCGCTGTTGGGATCTGGGAACTTCGCACAGTCCCCTGAAGGTTCGAAGAACATCCACAGCTTCCCGTTCGGTGGCAACTACTGGGAGTGGACATTTGCAAACCCGAATCTACCAGAATTTGGTCAGGACTTGCCTGAGACGCTCAGAGACACCTCACTACCTTGGATAGGCGACCCATATGAGAATAGTCCAGGCGTGTTTGACGAAAATACGCCATCCATGCAGCGCTCATTAAAAGTACGCCGCGCATTGTCTATGGCTATCGACCGTGAAGGTATCAACGAAGCTATTCTGAACGGACTGGGCAACCCTCAGGACTTGGGTGGTCAGTGGGACACAGACCCCGTTTTGGGTGGAAAACCAAGATAAATGGCGGTACGGCTACAACATTGAGGAAGCAAAGAAGCTACTGGATGAAGCTGGCTACAGCGATGGTTTTGAGGTCCACTTCTGGGCAGGACTCAGTGGTGAAGACGTTGAAATGTCTGAAGCCATCGCCGCAGACTGGCTGAACAACTTCAACATCCAGTCAACGCACGACAGGCGCACATACAGCACTATCCGCCCAAGCTTGGTTACTAGAACCTTCCCTGTGCTCAGAATGCACGGGTGCTGTGGCTGGCCCGGCACTTGGCCTATTGAGTTCATTTGGAGCTCATACGGCAGGGGCGGCTACAATCACGGCCTTGAGCTTCCAAAGGCATCAGAAGTCAACGGGTTCAAGCAGAGCAATACCAACCCTGATGAGCTGAAAAATGCTGCCGTAGAGATGCGCCAATACCTGTATGACTGGGCGCTTCTGCCAGCCATAGTGGCATCACCGGGCAGAATGATTTATGACGTAAACGCCGTAGAGTCCTGGAATATGCGGCCCTTCCTCCAGTTCAGGCACGACGGAATTCATGACTTGGAATGGGTAAAGCTCAAGTAGAAACGCCTTCAGTTAGCAACAGACATGCCCGGGCCAATCATAAAACCCGGGCATGTCATACTCATAATAATCTCAACGTCTTGGGTTAAGAGGCAGTGATGCGAGCCTTCATTATCCGCAGATTTATCACATCAATTCTCACGCTTCTGGGCGCGGCCCTATTCGTATTCAGCGTATCCAGGATCATGGGAGACCCGCGAGTGTTGCTGCTCCCGGACCAGGCATACGGAATAACACAGGAACAGTGGGACGATCTTGCCAGCCAGCTCCACCTCGACAAGCCTATTCCCATCCAGTTTGGTATATGGCTGGGACAGTTGTTACAGGGCGATTTGGGAGAGATTTGGCAGATAGACAGCTCATCGCGCCCAAGATACCTCAAAAGGTCGGTCCAACTCTAAAACTCGCCCTCTCTGCATTTATACTCTCCACGCTCATCGGCGTACCCATTGGAGTATTCTCGGCTGTCAGCCGAGGCAGCATCCCGGACTACTTGGGCAGGGCATTCGCCCTGTTCGGTCAGGCACTCCCCACATTCTGGGTAGGAATAGTGAGCATCCTCGTGTTTGCTGTCTGGTTAGGATGGCTACCTAGCGGGACAATGGGCGAGGGTTTCTCAATCAAGCACTACATTTTGCCCACTCTAACTCTGGCATGGTTCGGGGCGGCGGGATATGTGAGATTGGTGCGCTCGGCGATGTTGGAAGTGCTAGACTCCGAGTATGTCAAGTTGGCGAGGGCAAAGGGTGTCAATTCCAGAACGCTTATATGGAAGCATGCCTTCAAGAATGCGGCGATAGCCCCTCTCACACTATCTGGGCTGCTGTTAGCAGGGTTCATCACAGGTTCCATATCAGTGGAGACGGTGTTTGCATGGCCCGGATTGGCGCGATTCGGTATCGAAGCAGTGTGGACTAACAACTTCACCGTTCTCGCGGTTCTCGTTCTCATATTCACGGGCGCCTTCGTCCTACTTAATTTTCCTCGCAGATATTCTCTACGCCTTCATTGACCCACGCATACGCTATTCTTAAAGGAAGTATGACATGGCACAGGCAGAACTTCAGTCTGACCTTGAAGTAACCATACCTTCATATAGGTCAACAGGAATTGCCGGCGTATTACAACTCCTTAACAGGTGGCCTGTTATCCCTGGGACAATTCTGGGAGTACTGCTTGTAGTGGCTATATTCGCTCCTTTGGTCTCGCCACACGACCCGTATAGCAACAACCTCAAGGCCAGGAACCACCCACCCGTTTGGACCGAAGGCGGCTCAACGGAATACCTGCTAGGGGCTGATGTCATAGGGCGTGACCTCCTGAGCAGGCTAATCTACGGCGCGCGCATCTCCCTGATGGTCATGGCTGTCGCCCTTATCACCGGCACCATAGTTGGTACAGCTTTGGGGCTCATCGCCGGGTACTTCGGGGGGCTGATAGACGAAGTGATAATGCGCCTCGTCGACATATTTTTAGGCATTCCCTTCGTCCTAATGGCAATGGCGGTAGCCGTTGTCATGGGCGCCAGTTGACAACCATGATGGTAATGTTAGCCCTCCTCACATGGTCCGGTTTCGTCCGCAACGTGCGTGGAGAGGTGTTGAGCTTGCGCGAGCGCGACTATGTTGCGCTTGCCAAAATAGCGGGCGCTTCACTGCCGCGAATCCTCGTAATTCACATCTTGCCGGGCGTAGTCAACACAGTCGTAGTAATAGCTACGCTGCGTTCTGGACAGCTAATACTTGCGGAGGCTTTCCTCAGTTTTATTGGCGCCGGTATTCCGCCGCCAACACCTACATGGGGGGCGATGATTGCTGACGGCCGCAACTACCTGCGCGACGCTTGGTGGATTTCCTTCTTCCCAGGGCTGGCCATCTTCTTCACCGTTATGGCGCTGAATTTCCTTGGCGACTGGCTGCGGGATAAGCTTGACCCTCGACTCAGGCAGCTCACATAATCAGACAAGCGCAAAGTAAAGATGTAGATCGGGGCGCTCGTTCAATTGGGCGCTCCGATCTGCATTAAGGTTGAATGGCGCGCCATCGCTTGACCGCGCGGGGGCTGTTTGGCTAGAATACATGTACACAATTTCCATAGCAGTTGAACTACGACGCACATGGGACTCAACCTTGGGAACCGCATAGTACGCTCGTATCCCGATCATCATTTGACTACACAGCCTCCCGTTGCTTGGCGTGCAACGCGGGAGGCTTCTGTTTGCCATGAACCATCCTTAGCAGATCAACCATCACGACACGACAATACCTGCTGAGATTTGCGCTCTGTACAGAATGCTAACCATCTCAGCAGCCTGGGGAGGATACATACAATGTCCCTGAAACAGGATTCCGACATCGCAGACCTGCGACAGCGCATCCGCCATTCGACCGCGCACGTCATGGCTGATGTGGTCACGCAGATGTTCCCGGAAGCAAAGCTCGCCATCGGGCCCCCTACGGATGACGGCTTCTATTACGACTTCCTCGCGCCAGAACCTTTTCGCGAGGAAGACCTCGAACGCATAGAAGAGCAGATGAAGGCCGTCATCGCTAAGGATCTCACTTTCGAATACAGCGAATATCCGCGAGATGCCGCGCTGGAGATGAACGCAGGTGAACCGCTGAAATTAGAGATTATCAACGAAATCCCCGAAGACGAGGCAATCTCCACATACAAGCATGGTGCATTCGAGGATCTCTGTGCAGGTCCACACGTCGAATCAACCGGCAAGATTCCGGCGTTCAAGCTGCTCAGTGTCGCGGGCGCGTACTGGCGCGGCGACGAGAAACGCCCCATGCTCCAGCGCATCTACGGCACTGCATTCGAGTCGCAAGACGCGCTCGACGAACATCTGCACCGACTCGAAGAAGCAAGACGCCGCGACCACCGGCTTCTCGGCAGGGAACTCGACTTGTTCTCTATTCACGACGAAACAGGCCCAGGCCTCATAATCTGGCATCCAAAGGGCTCGCGGCTCCGCGGCATTATCGAGGATTTTTTGGAAGCAAGAACACTACAGCGCAGGCTACGACCTTGTTTACACGCCACACATTGGCCGCTCAAACCTATGGGAAACGAGCGGCCACCTCGACTTCTACAAGGAAAACATGTACGCCGCGATGGAGATGGACGGACAGGACTATTACTTGAAGCCGATGAACTGCCCATTCCACATCATGTACTACCGCACAGCAATGCGCAGCTACCGCGACCTCCCGATGCGTATTGGCGAGCTTGGCTCGGTATATCGCTATGAGCGTGGTGGAGTGCTGCACGGCTTGCTTCGCGTACGCGGGTTGACTCAGGACGACGCCCACATCTTCTGCCGCCAGGATCAGGTTGTCGAAGAGATCAACGGAGTGCTCGACCTCGACTTTCACCTGCTAGAGGCTATGGGATTCAGCGAGTTCGAGGTTATGCTATCCACTCGTCCAGAGAAAGCCGTCGGTGACGCCGCTCAATGGGACATTGCAACCGATTCATTGCGTCAGACACTCGAACAGCGGGGCATCCCATTCGAGGTAGATGAGGGCGGCGGAGCATTCTACGGACCCAAAATCGATGTACACATCCGAGATGCTATCGGCAGGCTTTGGCAATGCACGACGGTTCAATTCGACTTCAATCTGCCTGAGCGCTTCGGATTGACCTACATCGGAGAAGACGGACAGGAACATCAGCCGTATATGGTTCATCGCGCGCTTCTCGGCTCCCTGGAACGCTTTGTGGGCGTACTCATCGAGCACTATGGCGGCGCGTTCCCCGTATGGCTCGCTCCGGTTCAGGCAGTCGTCATTCCCATCGCAGACCGTCATGTAGAATACGCAGATTCCGTGCGAACGCAGCTTACCGCCGCAGGACTCCGCGCACAAACGGACCGACGCAGCGAACGCATGAACGCCAAAATCCGCGAGGCTCAATTGCAGAAAATACCCTACATGCTCGTAGTGGGCGACCGCGAGGCAACGGCAGGCGCTGCTGCTGTCCGACTTCGCACCGGGGAGAATCTCGGAGCCGTGCCAGTCGCGGATATTGTCGCGCGCATCACACAGGAAGCTGAAGACAGATCGTAGCGCGCAATGGGAAGCCAGCCTCACACTAGGGCGGCACCTGTGCGCCGCTTTAGTTTATTGCGCCTGTATTCGTATGCTTCCGAGCTGAACACATCGGACGAAGAGGCGTCCAACCCTTCACATTTGCACATTCGCTCCACAGCCACAGCGGCGCGCTTAGCCAGCGCAGCTCCGGGCATAATCGTGAGTGCGTTGAGCAAGTAACAGACCCGTGTTATGTTAGACGAACTGACGGCACTACCGTCTTGGATGAAGTCCCAAATGCCTTGGAGAACGACGTAGCTCATACGGAGGAAACCATGAAAGCAGGCGTAAACCTCATCAACTTCGGCCCTGGCGCTACTGCAGACTCTATGCGGAGGTTGGTTGAGATTTCAGAAACTCTTGGATATCACCTGATAATGACGTCGGACCACATTGCGGTCACCGCAGACGTAAATGCGAGATACCCGGCGCCTTTCTACGAGCCCCTCAGCACCCTTGGATGGCTGGCGGGCATCACAGAGAAGATAGAAATCGGCACGACGGTAATAATCTTGCCGTACCGCAGTCCATTGGAAATTGCGAAGACCTGCGCAAACATAGACCAACTGAGTGGCGGTCGCTTCATATTGGGCGTTGGCGTGGGCTGGGCTCAGGGGGAGTTCAAAGTGCTGAACTCTCCATTTAACCAACGTGGTGCAATCACTGATGAATACCTTAACGCCATAAAGTTACTATGGACTCAGGATGTGGCATCCTTCGAGCGGCAAGTACGTTTCCTTCGAGGATGTGTACACGGCGCCGCGTCCTGTGCAAGACCCACATCCGCCAATATGGGTCGGAGGGGCGTCTGATGCAGCTCTGCGAAGGACCGTGAGATTGGGCAACGCCTGGCACCCGATTCGCATCAGGGTGGACTCGTTCAAGAGCACGGGCATCCCACGGCTACAGGAGATTGCCGAGCAGGAAGAAAAGGCTGTCCCGGACCTTTGCCCCAGAATTCGCCTACGAATCACCGATGCACCGATGGACGAGGATCAGCGCTTGGCCGGCGAGGGAACCATAGACCAGATTCGCGGTGACCTCGAAGAACTGCAAGATCTCGGGTGCACCTATGTCCTGTTGGATACTTACTATGAAGACGTAGAGGCCACCAGACACCACGAAACCTCATGGCGCATGTTGGCCACTATCGCTGAGGAGGCGCTGGACCTAGGTAAAGAAAGCGTAAGGTGATACCAGGGGCAACACTCTGAAATGGAGTGCTGTAGCCTGCACTCCCGTGCAAGTGACCCATTTGGCCACGTCTTCCCTTGCCACTTCCTCAACGAGTTCCTCGTAGAAGCCTGACTCCTCCGTTACCCGTACTTCAGCCATAAGGAGATCGGCTTCGTGCCGTTGGAACTCTCTCTACTATAAGCCTTGAGAAAAGACACTAAGTAGCGTTGTAACAAACGAGCGTTGTCATACGTCCTATCGCTCGTTGGTTTGCCCAGAGAGTAGGATTTACCCCGTGCGTCGCGGACCTTCTGTTCAAGGCTGCTGCCGGCCTTGAACGCCACATACTTTCGGGCAGCCACCTCAATCATTTGTCCAGCGTTCTCGCCGGCTATCGCCCTCATCTGCCGCGCCGCCCTCTCCCTCACGGAAAACGTTCCGAATCCGACTAGAGTGACGCGATCGTTCTCCGTAAGAGCCTGCTCGAGGCTGTCGAGCACCGCTGCGTAGCTTCCGCTGCCGAGGCTTGGCTCACACCGAGACGCGCAGCCACAAGCTTAGTTAGTTCTGTCTTGTGTATCACTTCCGCCATCTAGATATGTCCTCCGTATCTTACTATCAATCGTGTGTCCCACATCCATCGCCCTGAAAACACCCGTTCTCCTAGGTCCAGCGATGTTGCTTGACTAAATGATCGACGCTCGTCAAGGATTACCTGTAAGTCACATCAATTTCAATGGCAACTGTCGTAAGCGCGACGAATTATATGGAATTCTTAAGGTTTTTGCAATGCACCCATGCCATCAAATGAGTACGTTGAGGGAGCTCTCCACAATAATAGAAATACTCAGGTCGCGTCACTATCTCAATCTGAATAACATGTCGGCATGAATGCATTTGGAAAGCTATTTCGGTCCTCCACCGGCATGAACCGGGGTACCCGAAGCATCGGAACGCGCCGCTGTCCCCTAGCAACTAGGATTGCTCGATGTCAGTAGCGTTGCTAAGGATTATTCGGATGACGGACCTGAAGGTTTCCAAATCCCCTTCACTTATTCCCTCGGTGAGCTTTTCCTCGTAGGAATGCACACTCTGATGAAGTGCCAATCCCAGTCTCTGTCCCTCTTCTGTCAACTTCAATATGACGACACGCCGGTCCGTACTTTGGCGGCGCCTGAACAGCAGTCCCCTATCGACCAGCTTGCTTACCATTCTACTAATCGCCGGCACTTCCACAGGAAGCACCTGAGCAAGTTCGGTGGCTGTCCATTCCTTGTCGACTAGAAAGAGTCTGATCGCGGCAAAATCCATAGGGGTGATACCGTGAGACCCAATCTCGCGGTCCACGCCCTTGGCGACTGCGTTTAGCAAAGCAGTGGCGTGTTGTCCCAAGCTATGAAGGGGCGCTGTACTTCGAGGATGACTGATGTCGGCTTTTCCTTGCATATTTGTCATATATTCATGCTCCGTAAGAGTTCTTTGGGCACTCAGCGCATGTTACTTTTGAACAGTCTAGTCGGTGAGCCAAATACTACCACCATTGGGTGGAACGATCATCGGTCATTGTGAGCGGCATGATTTCCAAGTTTCTAAAGAGATAAGGCAGATGCGCCGCTCCTCCACATTTTTCGTGCAAGTCAATCAGAGAACCGACCAAATGGAAGTTTGCTGAATCCAACTGGTGAAATATTCTGCTCTTCCGTCAAAGGTGGCTTGACGGTCGAAAGGGTTTGTAAGCGGAGCGTGGAGAATCAGTCAAAAATCCCCTTGGCCATTGCCCAATTCCGCATCGCGAAATTCGCGAAACGGCAACCTGCCTTTATTTCGCTTTGCCCTTCCCTACTGCTAAAGTAAATAGGTATATCTTTATTAAACACTATGACCTCCCAATTTATCAAGCAATTGGAAAGTAAGTTAATTGAGAATTATTTCGCAAACGCAAGGATAGGACACTGTCTTTCATGATCGCGAGCCGGGCAGGTAACCACATATTCGAGTGACTGAGCGCGTTCGCAATGTTATCGTCCCAACTAGGCTGATTTGCTATTATTCAGTACAATGCAAATTTCCATCACAGACCACTACATAAGCAGATGACTGACCAGTGACTTTCCTGAATTTCTGGGTACTCTCCGTCTTTGCCATCTACTTTTTCGTCCTTATCGCCATTGCGATCGTACGATCGCGCCAGATGCGCGAGATGCAGGACTACGTGCTCGGCAGCCGACGCCTGAATGCAGTGACCGCGGCCCTGAGCGCCAGCTCATCGGCAGTTAGCAGCGGATCTATGCTGGTGGTGCCTGCGCTGGCGTTCGTGGATGGCGGCCCAACCCTGCTGCTTGCTGGTAGCATATTCTTGGGCTCAGTATTCTCCTGGACTCTGCTTGCAAAACGTCTGCGACGCTACACAATCGCAGCAGATAACTCGCTGACAATCTCTGAATTCCTGGAGCGGCGGTTTGACGATCGCACAGGCATACTGCGGTCACTCGTGGCAATAGTCACTCTGTACTTCGTCACTATCTACATCTCGTCCGGCTTGGTAGGAGGCTCCAAGCTGCTACAAGAGATTTTCGGACTGTCGCCCAACATCGGAATTGTGCTGACGCTAATCGCGGTTGCCTCCTACACGCTGGTAGGAGGATTCTTGGCGGTGTCACGTACAGACGTGTTCCAATCGCTTCTCATGCTGGCCTCCTTCACCATTATTCCCGCAATGCTTCTACACGTGACGGACTATTCGGTCGCAGGGATGGTGGAAAATGGGTCCGCATTCCTGAATCCGTTCAACGATATACAGGGCAACGCGCTATCCTGGGTTTACATTGCTTCGCTGCCGGGTTGGGGAATATCGGCATGGGGTTCGCTGCGAGTGCTGCAACGGTTCATGGCCATCGAGAATGAGGAGAAAATTCCTGCAAGCCGCAACATTGGCGTAGCCTGGCTTTTCCTGATAACCATATTCGGCCTGGCCATTGGTTGGATGGCACGTCCGGCGTTGGAGCAGGCGGCTGTGCTGGGCGCAGCAGCGGATCCCGAGAAGGTGTACTTCGTTGTGACTGAGGTGTTCTTTCATCCTTTGGTGGCGGGTGTGCTGCTATGCGGCGTAGTAGCGGCCGTGATGAGCACCGCGGACTCTCAGTTGTTGCTGGGGTCCGCGGTAGCTGCAGACGACCTGCCGGTCTTGCGCAGGGTAACCAATTCCTTCCGGCAGCGCCCGCGCATCTGGCTGGGACGACTCCTGCTCGTGGTTATCGGTCTGGTGTCCATGGCGATCTCTATGTACAAGCCGGATTCAATCCTAGACCTTGTGTCGTATGCCTTTGGCGGAATGGGGGCAGCCTTTGGCCCGAGCATCTTACTCGCCCTGTACTGGAGGAGGTTCAATTTCTGGGGAGCCGTGTCCGGTGTAGTCGTTGGGACGGTCGTATCGTCCATTTGGGGCTTTGCTTCAGGCGGCCCGGGAGGTGTCTGGAACATAATGGTAGGCACGCCCGGGTTTGCGGCGGGCGCGGTCGCTGCGGTGGCAATCACGCTATTGACACGCGCCCCATCATCGGAAGTTGTGGCCCTCTTTGACAACGTGAACCCTCCGAAGCGGGCAGCAACTGCTAATACGAACAGTCGAGAGTGAATCCGCCTGCACAGACCAATGTTCCCGTCAAGCCAGTGAAGTCAGCCGTGTTCGCGACATCTTCACTAGGCTCGACCCTGACCACAATTACTACAGTATGCGGTTGCCGGGCATGTTCGTCCACGCACTCATCTCGTGCGGTGTTGTGACAGCCTCTGCCTCACACACGAAATCGGGAGTGATCTGGTCTATTGAGGTCACGCCGAGCAGAGCCATTGCGACGATCAGCTCATCCTCTAGGATCTCAAGCATGCGAGCAACGCCTGCCTGCCCATCCGCCGCAAGCCCCCAGCCTTGCAACTTGCCCAGGGCCACGGCACGTGCTCCCAGCGCGACCGCCTTGGCAATGTCCGCCCCGCGCTGCACTCCGCCATCCAGAATAATATCCGCCCTACCGTCAACAGCTTCGACGATCTCGTCAAGCATTTCCATCGTACCCTGCCGTGGTCGAGCTGACGGCCTCCGTGATTCGACACCCACACCACATCAACGCCGTGCTCGACGGCGGTTTTCGCATCCTCCGCTGTCGCTACTCCCTTCAGCATAAACGGAAGGCCGGCCAGACTCTTTATCTTATCCACCAGTGTCCCACGTAACAGAAGCGGAATGCGATGGGTCGACGCTTCTACGCCTTGTGGGGGGCATCCAACGTGTCAGCAGGGGCCGTTCCCTGCGACTGTAATGCGCGGTATCCACTGTGATGCACAGCCCAATGTAGCCCGCACCCTTTATGCGCGATACCATCTCCTCGACCCATCCCCAGTCACCGTGAATATAAAGCTGAAACACTTTCGGATGATCCACCGCCGCCGCAATATCTTCCAAGCCTGGCTCGGTGACCGAACTGACCACATGCATTGTTCCGAACTCTGCTGCAGCTCTGGTCGAGGCGGCACCGCCTTCAGGATTGAATACCTGAAGCGACCCAATAGGCGCCAGTATCGCGGGTATCCGCAGATTGTTGCCGAGGAAAGTAGTCGAGGTGTCCACTTTCGATACATCGTTCAGAACCCGCGGCCGAAACGCTATCCGGTCGAATGCCAGCCGGTTACGGCGCATGGTGCTCTCAGACTCTGACGCGCCCACAAGATAGTCCCAGGCCCCCTGGGGCAGATTCTTTCTTGCTCGAAGGACTATTTCCTCATTACTCAAAAACTCTGACACTATGCTCATCTCCTAAGAATTTCTGTCTGGCCTTCATCAGCACGATTAGATTTCGGTGGACATCGTAACACAAGCCGCTTAATGTCGTACTAACATTGACTGGACCCCGCCCAAGCGAAGAAGATCTACGGCATATCGGGGCTTGCCATGCGGTATCCCACGCGAGGTTCGGTAAAGATGAAGACCGGATTGCTCGCCTCGTCCCTCAGCTTGCGACGCAGCCTTCTAATATGAGTACGCACAAGTCTCGGATCGCTGGATGACGCCGATCCCCCATATCCGCAGTATGAGATAGTCGTGGCTCAGTGCTCTTCCCGCATTCCGCGACAACTCGTAGAGCAAGCTGTACTCGGTGACCGTCAGCCGTACCGGATCGCCCGCCATGAACACAAGGCGCCGCTCGTAATCGATGGTCAGATCGCCATTGACATAGGGTCCCGCCTGCTCAGGCAGAGCCGATTCTACCCTCGTACGCAGTGCGACGCGAATCCTTGCCACAAGCTCAGTAGGCGAAAAGGGCTTGACCACATAGTCCGCCGCGCCCATCTCTAGTGCACGGGCGATGAACTGGGCTTGGCCGTATGCGGACAGAAAGACTACTGGGATATCGGTTATCGCCCGGATATCCTCCATCAATTCTATGCCGTCCTTCCCCGGGAGCATGAAGTCCAAAATGGCGACGTTCGGCCTCCGCCGCAGCATTTCGAGCGCTTCCTCCGAATTAGCAGCCAACAGCGCAGTGTAGCCCGCCTGAGATAGAATATCCCGCACGTGCCTCAGCGTTTGAGGGTCGTCGTCCACCACCAGCACGCTTCCCTCCTCAGTACGCTGAGGTATGGAAACCGCAGGCAAACGTGATGACTCAGTCGAGGTCACTGCCTGATCTACCACCGGGATTGTGAAAGTGAACCTAGATCCCTGGTCCTCGCCTTCGCTATCCACCCATATGCGTCCTCCGTGAGCCTCAACTATACTTTTGCAGATGGCAAGACCCAGACCCGTCCCCGTTGCCCCCGGGATGCCAGCCGCGCCTCCTGTACGCGAGAACTTTAGGAACAGTAATGGCAGTCTCTCAGTCGGAATGCCCACACCCTCGTCGGAGATCGAGATTTCGACTTGGGATTCATTCTCCGCTGCCGACACCCGTATGGCTGACGACTGGGGCGAATATCCGGCGGCGTTGGACAGAAGATTGCCCAGCACTTGCACAATGCGCCTCCTGTCAGCCATCACATCCGGTAGGTCCGCTGCAATGTCAATTATGACATTGTGCCTGCCCCCTCCGCTGAGGAAGGTGTTCCTGGCCTCGTCAACCAGTGCCGCCACTTCGCTCGGCTCAGGTGTAACTGAAAACGTGCCCGTCTCTATACGCCCAAGGTCCAGAAGGTCGGTGATCAGTTCTCGCATCCGATCAGCCTGGGCATCGATGATCCTGTAAAACTGGCGGACTTCAGCCGGGTCAAGTTCTGAAGATTCGTTCAGTAGCGTAGTGGCGGATCCCTTTATGGAGGTCAAGGGTGTTCTGAGTTCGTGGCTCACCATACCCAGAAACTCTGCGCGAAGCCGCTCGAGTTCCTCCAGCGGCGTCATGTCCTGGGTGACGCTTACGATAGATGCCACCTCGCCGTCTTCTGAGAATACCGGCTTCGCGCTCGTCAGAATTGGTACATCTCGCCCGTCCGGGAGACGCATTAATACCTCTTCGGATCGCGTTATCTCACCTTGAGCCGCACGCCTCAGAGGGAGTTCGGAGCTAGCAATTTCCCGACCATCCACGCCGAAGAAAGACATCATCTCGTGGAGCTGGCGAACGTTGCGCTCCGGTATCCCCACGTCGCGAACTATCCTCTTTGCCTCCTCATTGTGAAGCAGAAAGTCCCCGGTCTTCGCGTCAACGACTAGTATCCCCGCCGGAGAAGTCCTGACCAAATCCTCCAACTCGACCTTGGCGCGCCGTTCATCCCCATACCTGCGCGCATTCACAATGGCAGTAGCCGCTTGAGACGCGAACAGCACTAGTATCTCCTCGTCCCCAGGCGTAAACTCGCCGCCGTCTGTCCTCTTAGTTAGGACTATGTTGCCTAATGCCTCCCGCTGGTTGAGGATTGGCACTGCTAGACAAGAACCCACCTCGACGGGCATCTGGAACTCAGGCAGACCCTCCAACATCAGGTACCTGCGGAGATTACGAATCCTCAGTGGTCCGGGAATACTGTTGAAGTGCTCTCGCAAAGCCTGCCCGTCCGGCATTTCCAATAGCTGTTGGTGTTCTTCAGGAGACAACCCCGAAGTAACAATGTCCTGAAGCTGCCCCTCAACATTCAGCAACGTGAGCGCCCCATATTGCGCGCCGGTCAGTACGCGTGCGCCATCAACCGCTAGTTGGAGCACACTATCAATTTCCAGGCTCTCATTGATACGCCGACTCGCCTCGCTCAGTTCGAACAGACGACTTCGCAATGCCTCATTCACTCTCCTCAGATCATCAGCCTCCATAATCCTCTACCTCCCACCATACTGCGGATAATCTCCCGGCTACGGGCCATCTACATTAATTATACCTTATAGTCATTGTATAGGTGGGTGTGTTTTCTTTACATCAAAGCCATGCAAAACGGTCAGATCGCCCACTTACCTGAAGTCTCATCTAACCACGAGGTGCATGCCATAGGCACTCCCTGAACAGAGTTGAATCCCCTGCTTACCGAGCCCTTACCTGCCCCGCCGACCACAATCAAGGAATCGGCAGACATACCAGTTGGCGTCAACGTATTTTCAAGTCTGCCCTCTCCGTGACTCTCCTTCCTGCACGGGACTATTTTATGTAAGTATCGACTGTTCCACTCGCGGACAGACTGAAAGCGCGGCAGCATCGATTCGGAATGCAAATCCGCATCTGAAGGCACTGGATGAGTATTATGTTGACGTCAGCCGAGTTGACGGCTATCATCAAAATGATTATTTGCAAGTAGCATAGTATTGGACAGATATGGAGGACTGACGTGCCGTTCGCAAGAGGGATTGGACCTTTAGAACTAATACTTATCCTCGTGATCGTCATGCTGATTTTCGGCGTAGGCAAACTGCCTCAGGTCGGTCAGGCCGTCGGCAAGGCGGTGAAGCAGTTCCGTCAGAGCCAGGAGTCCAGCCTTGAGGCCGAAGAAACGGAAGAAGACAAAGTCACGACAGGAAAGAGCGACTAAGAATCTTTGTACACGGCCTTAAATAATAGATTCAACCGCGAAGAGCTTGGGACAAACTTCCCAAGCTCTTCTGCTTTAGTGACGGTTACAGCAACTATTTGCGAAAATTAGGCGGCATCAACTCAGTGGAATACCAAAGGAATCAGAGATCGCCTTACACGCGACTCAGCAGCATAGTATATTCACGCATGCTGCGCCTGTAGATTTACAACTCCATCGCATATTCACCAGCCGCAACGCCCCCATGGCTGTTGCTTGATTAAAAGCCTTGTGCTATATTCATGCGATAAAATGCCATAATAGGCTTAATCCCAAATGATGAGGTGAGCAGCATCCCACCAAGAGAGTATCGAGTCAATCATCGTATCCGAGTGCCGGAAGTACGGCTTGTGGACGACCGCGGCGAACAGTTAGGCGTCATGCAGACGCGCGCTGCAATTGAGATTGCCGACGATCGGGGTCTGGACCTGGTAGAGGTCGCGCCCACAGCAAGGCCCCCTGTATGCCGCATAATGGATTACGGAAAGTTTAAGTACGACAACACCCGTAAGGAACGTGAAGCTCGTAAGGCTCGCAAATCCAAGGCAATGCAAGAGCAGCGGGAAGTACGTATGAAGACTCGCATAGGGCAGCACGACCTCCAGGCGAAAACCCGACTGGTCAAGCGGCTTCTTGGCACCGGAGCAAAGGTCAAAGTGTCTGTGATGTTCCGCGGGAGAGAAATCGCACATCCGGATTTGGGTATGCAGCTGCTCCGCACAGTCGCCAACGACTTGGTTGACGAAGCCCTCCTGGAACGACCACCAGCGTTCGAGGGACGCTTCCTGGCGATGACACTCGTGCCCAACCCCAGTCTGGAAAAAGACACAGAATCAACACAGGAGAAGGAAGTTGCCCAAACTTAAGACTCACAAGGGCGCGCGAGCAAGATTCCGCGTCACTTCGACAGGAAAGCTCGTTCGTATGAAGGGGCACCGCAGCCACTTGCGCCGCAAAAAGTCCAGTAAGGTCAAGCGCCAGTACAATGGCAAGATCGACGTTAGCCCCGCGGATGCGCCGCGAATCAGGAAGTTGCTGCCGTACGGCGTCGCATAGCCACGTCAAAAAAGGCTGCATTCCCCACGAAATAGATATAATTAACGAACCAGGCGCTAAATCAGTCGCCTGGTTCGTATGTTCAAAGGAGTCTGATTCAAGTGACCAGGATAAAGCGCGGCACAAATAAGCGCCGTCGGCATAAGAAACTACTCAAGGCAACCAAGGGGCATCAAGGCGTTCGACACACACTGTATCGCCGCGCGCACGAGTCGCTGATTCACGCGCTCGCCTACTCTTACGCTCACCGCAAAGAGAAGAAGGGCGATATGCGCAGGCTGTGGAACATCCCGCATAAATGCGGCCGCCCGCGCCAACGGCACTACTTACAGCCGCCTCATACACGGGCTGAAGCTAGCAGGCATCGAGATTAACCGCAAGATGCTTGCAGACATTGCAATCCGCGACCCGGAAGCATTCACCAAGATTGCTGAACAGGCAAAGGCTCAGTTGGAACCGGCCTAGAGGCGTGTCCCGTATTTAGTTTGCCCTGCTCTAGCCGCCAACCAGCCTGACATCGTGCACCACGTCCTGCGGCTCCAAAGGTAACGTGAATGCGGAGCGCATGACGCCTTTCGCATCAATGACGTATATGGGCGCTGAGTGTATGACGCGCCCGCTCTGCTCAACAAGCGCGCTGACTCCGCCACCCTGAGACTTGGGTGCGGTCCCGGCCTCCTTCACGTTGTCGGAGCTACTTGGCCCATGAACATAAGGGTCGATGTAGTACGCCTTCCACACCGGACTCAGCGCCTCCTCACTTCCTACAAGATAAGTCCAGGCATCTCCCATCTGCCATCGCTCCGAGTACGTGAACGCAGAATCCACGGTATCCCCCACTGGATCAACGCTGACCACGACTATAGCGGTGTCCGAAGAATCTTCCTCAAGCAGTGATGAAATATCACGCAGGTGGTTCGCCACAATCGGGCACACATCCGGGCATCTGGTATAAAGAAATGTGAGCACCACTACCTTGCCGGAGAAGTCTCCCTCAGCGAGCGCATTTCACCGAACTGGTCCGTCAGTTCGAAATCAGCTGCCTGCATTTCGTTGGTGAGAGCCGTACCCTTGAAGTCATCGCGCGTAGGCGCGGCAGAACACGCCATTAGCAACAGCGGCGCAAAAACAGCGAAGCTTACAGAAAATAGCCTGCAGATCAAAAGGAAGTCCCGCTCATGCATCTAGTGTGAATTCGCCGATGAACGGGAATGAGTATGTGGGGTATGGGGCGTGACATTGAGTGCGCTCCGGCGCAGCCACGATATGGGAGCCGATGGCAACTCCGTTCACGAGAATGATTGCTCTTGACGAGCGCGGCTACTTCTCCACCGCATTCTGCGCCAAGAATGCTACGACCGGAACAAAGACCACTAGCGACATACCAATGATTACGACACCCCACTCGTTGTGCATCACATGATGCAGATACATGAATGTCACGCCAAGCGAACCCGCAAAGACGGCGATTACCACCATAGATAGAATCGGGATAAACACTGCCAACAGAAACCGCTGCATCATCTTTAACTATCCTCCAATGCGGGCCCATCGGCCCAACCGTCGTCTTTATTGCCGTATTGTTCTTTCTGAATCCAACTTGCGTACTGCCTCTTCCTGGTTGAACCATTTGTAGAAAATGACAATCAGCAGGACGAGGAAATAGATTCCGCTACCAACTTTCATAATTATTCCGCCCAGCTGCTGATCCAGCAGAGGCGAGAGACTCCATATCCTGGGAGCTTGCACATAGAAGTCGTAAAGCGGCTCCTTTGCAAAAGTTATTATAGCAAATACGATTATCTGCGCTATCGAGAGTATAAAGATGTACCCCATCTGAAAAGGGTAGTCCAGGCGCGGTAGCTCCGGCAGATTGCTCGTAAGTGGCCACCACATCAAAACTGCCGTCCCTACCATCATTATGTGCTCTAAGGCATGTACGGCCTCGCTATTCAGCGAAGTATTGTACAACGCTGGAATATGCCAAACCGAAAATACCACATTGAACGCTGCGAACGCTGTCACAGGATGGGTCAATACCCGCGCCACGCGGAACGACCAGTTCGGGCGCAGCAGCGGCCTGATTAGCCAGTCAGGTGTGCCCAGCACCAGCAGCGGCGGGGCAATCAGCGTCAGAAGTACATGCTGCGACATGTGCATGCTGAACAGAAATCGCTCGCTCAAGACATGGAGCGGCGACGCAAGCGCAAAGAAGATTACAACTATCCCTGCGCAGAAAGTCGCCAGCTGTCGCGGGTCCACATGGTCAGCAAGTTTGTACCGTTCCCGCAGAGGCCCCACGCCGACGAGATACACTCCCAAGAGTAGCGCAAGCCCTGCCATCGCATCCCAATGTACCTCCCATTGAAGCCAGAGCGACCCCGCAAACTCATTCAAGTTATGCTCCTAGCATTTTTAAGGTGCTCCGAGATCTTCTTCATCTAATCATGTGAGAAATCGCCCTGGATAGAAAACTGCTCCTCATTTCGCGCTGGCTATTTGCCACCCGTAAAGAATGCGAGCAGGCTCATAAGCGCAAACACAACTCCGGCAGCCACCACAAGCCCTGCGACGAACAACAACGAGAAGATAGGAACATTTTTGCCGAATATGCCTATCGCAACCCTGTCGTACCTCAAATGCATGTAGAACATCGCCACAAGTATAAACTTCGCGGCAGACAGCAGAGTAAGGATAGGAATGATAGCGTGTCCTATCCAGGTAATGTAGAAGATCCCGAATTCGGCAGCGGTAAGCACACATAAGGTTATCGCAACCTTGAAGTATGTGAGCGGAGTTGGATGTCCGGTATGGACTTCCTCCGCATGCTCTTGTGCGACTTGGTGTTCTTGGCTCATTCGTTTCCTCTGTGGTTAATCAAAGTGCTTGTTAGGCAGCTAGAATCCTGGGAATACTCCAAACAGATACACGACAGTGAAGATGACGATCCAGACAACGTCAACGAAGTGCCAGTAGAGTGCGGCTAAGTCAAGGTCCAAGTTTCTTTCTGGCGTCACCATCCCCCTCTTGAACGATAGGAAGAATAGAGAAAGCAACCACACTATGCCCAGCGTAACGTGAGCACCGTGGAACCCAGTCAGTGTATAGAATGTAGAACCGAAGAGGTTCGTGCGCGGAGTCAACCCGACAACTTCTTCGACCTTGCCGTCATGCTCGTCCTCAGTGCCGCATTTCTTCGCGAGCTCCTGTTTGACCGGCGTCAGCTCGACAACGCCGACATCGGAACAATTCACCACATGCTCGAAGTTGACGAATGTCCTGAACTCATACACCTGGAACGCGATGAAAGTCGCTCCAAGAAGGGCGGTCGACGCCAGCCAGATGCGGAATGCCTTCATGCTGTTGCGCGTAAGCGCCGCATATGCCAGCACCATGCTCATACTGCTCATAAGCAGCACGAAGGTACTGACGGTGGTAACGGGGATGCTGAACACATCCTCTGGAAGGGGTCCGGCAATGCTGCGATTCTTGTACACCAGATATGTCGCGATAAGCGAGCCAAAGAACATGCAGTCCGACCCCAGGAATGCCCACATGAGGACTTTCCTGTGGTTTAGACCGGTCGTAGTCGGCTCGTGTTCGCCGTGGGCGGTTGCTTGTGCCACTTAAAATAGCCTCCGGTGTTAGTGAGCCGCTTGCTCGGCGTCTTCAGGGTCGTTAACAGGCTCGAAAGACCATGAATACACGCCAATCATTCCAATGAGTACGCCAACGATAGAAATCGCATAGTAGCCGACCGGATAGACCAAGCCGAAGCCGCCTATCAGGATACCAATCGACACAATAATCGGCCAGTAGGATGGCTGAGGCAGATGGATGCCATGCCCTTCATCGTAGCCCGACCCACCTGCTACGGGAACAGCCCGCCTGACCTCGCGGCGCTTGCGCGCCCACCAGTCGTCTCTGTCATATACGGTCGGAATCTCTGCGAAGTTGTACTCGGGCGGCGGCGATGGGATGGACCACTCAAGAGTCCTGGCGTCCCACGGATCATTTCCTGCAAGTTCGCCCTTGCGCCAGCTTCTGGCAAGGTTGTGTATCATAACTAAGACGCCCACTGCCATAACAATCGCTCCCAAGGTGGAAACACCATTCCATAGGTTCCAACCCATGCCCGCATCGTAGGTATAGATGCGCCTCGGCATCCCGTCCAGCCCAAGGAAGTGCTGAGGAAAGAAGGCTATGTTAAAACCTGCGAAAACAAGCCAGAAGTTGAGCTTCCCTAGAACCTCGTTGTACATACGCCCCGTTATCTTGGGGAACCAGTAGTATATGCCACCGAATATCGCGAATATCGCGCCACCGAACAGCACATAGTGAATATGCGCCACAATGAAGTAGGTATCCTGCTGCTGTGCGTCCGACGACGCCGAAGAGTGCATGACGCCACTGATGCCGCCGATCGTGAACATGGCGACAAAGCCTACGGCATATAACATGGGCGTCCTGAAGTCCATTTGGCCGCCCCACATAGTGCCCATCCAGTTGAACACCTTTATGCCCGTGGGCACCGCAATCGCCATAGTCGTTATCGTGAACACCGTAATCGGGATTGGACCTAGACCCACTGTGAACATGTGGTGGCTCCAGACCATCCAACCCATGAACGCGATGATGGCGCCCGCCAGTACAATCGCCGGATAGCCGAACAGCGGCTTCTTGGAGAATGTGGGCAGTATCTCGGAGACAATACCCATAGCGGGCAGTATCAGAATGTACACCTCAGGATGTCCGAACACCCAGAAGAGATGCTGCCACAGCACCGGGTCACCGCCTCTGGCGGTATTAAAGAAGTTCATGCCAAAGCTACGATCGAAGTAGAGCTCGATTAGAGCGACCGTGATAACCGGAAATGCCAGCACTATCAGAATGTTCGTTATGAAGGTCATCCATGTGAACAAGGGAAGGCGCATAAAGGACATCCCCGGCGCCCGCATGTTGATAATAGTTTACGAGGAAGTTGAAAGACGCGGCAAGGGACGCGATGCCCAGCACCTGCAAGCTGACTAACCAGAAGTCTATCCCTGTGCCCGGGTTCTGCTGCACGCTAGTTAGCGGCGCATAACCGAACCAGCCTGCGTTTGTCGCGCCGCCCGTGAACCAGCTAATTTTCAGAATGATTGCGCCTGCGAGGAATGTCCAGAAACTGAAGGCGTTCAGGCGCGGGAATGCCACGTCGCGCGCGCCAATCTGAAGCGGAATGACGAAGTTGAAGAAAGCTGCGCTCAACGGCATTATCGCCAGGAATATCATCGTCGTGCCGTGCATTGTGAACAGCTGATTGAACACCTCGGCACTGACGATATCCTGATTGGGACCGGCAAGCTGAATGCGCATCAACAAAGCCTCGATGCCGCCGCTCAGGAACAATATGAAAGCAGTAACGCCGTATAATATGCCTATCTTCTTGTGGTCGATAGTCGTTATCCAGTTCCAGATTCCTGTTGGGTGTGTTGGCCTGGGTATGGGGAACGCTAGTGTCGTCATCCCTCGCCTCCCATGTTGCTCCGTTAATCAGGATTGCTGCGCCAAATTTCAAATTGGCTTCAAATGCGATTGCGATCTATTTCAGAGTTAGCAGATATGCCACAAGGGCGTCAATCTCCCGCTCCGTCAGCTCGTTGGCAGGATCTATGTACGGCTCTCCGTCTCTTGCCATGAGGTTGCCCGGCTTCAGCGCCTCCGGATCCGATATCCAAGTCTTAAGGTTGTTCTGCAACATGGCTTCGCTGACGAACGGCTGCCCATCCAGTCTCTGAGGTATTCCGTCCACATTCACATACAGTTGACGGCCGCCATTGGCATGATCCTCAAATGGTACATCAGAATTGCGGTAAACGCCCAAGTGGTTCAACCTCGAAGCGATATGCGTTAGGTTCGGTCCTGTCCTGCCAGGTATTCTGCCGCCATCCGGACGCAACTTAATGATGCTGCTCTCGGCATGGCAGCCCGAACAGCCCGCATCCCGGAAAAGTTCCTTGCCCTCTGCCACCAGCGGGTCGGAAGGAAGCGGAGCGGCCGACGCCTGATGCTGCAGCCATGCGTCGAACTCAGGGCGCGGCACCGCGACAACCTTGAACCGCATATTCGCATGAGATACACCGCAGAACTCAGCGCACTGGCCGAAAAACTCGCCCGGCGCATACGCCTGGAACCACATCTTGTTGTCGTTATTCGGAATCATGTCTACCTTGCCCGCGAGCTTGGGCACCCAGAAGCTATGAATGACATCTACCGAGTCCAGAAGGAACACGACCGGCTCGCCGACCGGCACATAGAGCTCGTTAGCGACGGCAATCTGCTCGCCCGGGTTGTTGGGATTAGGATAGCGGAACTCGAACCACCACTGGTGGCCGATCACATCTACGAGCAGTTCATTTGACTGTCCGTTGTTGTCCACGTATCTGCCCGCATCGGCGTAGAAGATGCCCTGTATCGTCGGAACCGCCGCCACGATGAGCACGATAACGGGTGCAATCGTCCAGGCAATCTCAATGCGCGTATTGCCGTGCGTCTGCTTTGGATCGAGGTCATCCCTGCGCTTGAACTTGAAAACCATGTATAGCAGCGCGCCTTCGACCGCGATGAATACCACCAACCCAGCCCAGAAAATAACCCAGAATATAAACAACTGGTTCTCAGCGACCGGGCCCAACGTGTCGAAAGTGGATTGAGAATGATCAGGCGTAACTACATTACAGCCCGTAAGCAGAGCGGCCAGCGCACCCAGCAGCGCCGCGCTCAGTAATCTTTTCAAGCTCACTGCGCTTTTCAGCATATCGTAACTTGTGCCCTCTCGTTAGTTGCCTGATTCAACTCGTTTCGACTTACCGTTCATCGTCTGATCTGTGCCAATACCGCACGCCCTCAATGCTCCTAGCTTTCATCAGCGCACCGAGTAAGAAATCTATCAGAGCAGTTAAACTCAGTCAAGATTATACACGCTCAATCTGTCATTCCGGCTATATCCAGGAGTACCACCCCACCTTGAAAAAGCTGTCCGCGATTATCGCCAAAAAGAGCAGAGCCAGATATAAGAGTGAATACAGGTATAGTGGCTTAGCACCTTCAATATCGGGACGCCGCATCAGCCGCCACGCATAATAGATGAACAGCACGCCAAGCACGACGGAACTCACCAGATACACCGATCCAACAGCGCCCGTCAGAGCAAACATGGTCGTCAGCGCCAGCATCAGAAGCGTGTACAACAGTATGGACTTCTTCGTCACATCCACGCCCGCGACAACCGGCAGCATCGGCACTTTCGCGCTTGCGTAGTCATCTTTCAACAGCAGCGAAAGCGCCCAGAAGTGCGGCGGCGTCCAGAAGAAGACGATAGCAAACAGGTATATTGCCGGCAGGTCGAGCGAGCCTGTAACGGCGACCCATCCCACGGCAGGCGGGATCGCCCCCGCCGCTCCGCCTATCACGATGTTCTGCGTCGAGGTGCGCTTCAAAGCCATCGTGTACACGAGCACATAGAACAGCGTGGCGCACAGCGTCAACACCGCGCTCAAAAGGTTAACCATTGAAGTCAGCATTACGAAGGCGACAATGTTGGTACAGATGCCGAAAGCAATGGCGTGACTGTTCGGAATCGTACCCACGACCACAGGACGCTTGCGAGTGCGGCTCATCGCTTCGTCAATGTCGCGGTCGAACCACTGGTTCAGCGCATTTGCCCCCGCCGAAGCCAGAGTGCCAGCCACCAGCACCACGACCATTACCAAGACATCAGGAGTTCCCTGAGCGGCGAGGAACATGCCCCCTAGCGCCGTGAACAGCAGCAGCATTATGATGCGCGGCTTCGTCAGCGCCACATAAGCTCTGATGATGCTTTGGGACGGGGCAGCGATCTGTTGAGTCGTCTGGGTAGTCAAGACCTCAAGCCCTTCCCTTCAAGCCGCCTGCATTCATGCCGTCCACCGCCGCGGATTCTCTATGCCCCAATACAGCGTCCGCGTCCGCAAATCTCTGCGGCACATAAGATAACGCAGCCACGAACACAAGCGCAATCCACACCAATGTCGCCATGCTAAGGTGAATAGCCTTAATCTCCGCAGTGAAGCCCAGCCACACCGTCAACGCGCCGACTAAAATCTGCGCTGCAAACACCACAAGAAGCAGAAATCCGGTTCTGCCAACACTGGGCCTGCCAACACTGGAAAATCGGGGGCTTTTCCATGCCGAATATGCAACCGCAATCACCAGAACTCCCACAATAGCAGCGAAATATCTATGCGCCATATGTTCAATATACGGCCTGCCCTCAGGAAACAGGCTGCCCCGGCACAACGGCCAGGTGCCGCACGACGACCCGTACCCCGCACCCACAATGTACGAGCCTGACAGGATCAGTAGGAAGACCCCAACCAGCGCCGCAATAGTCCACTTGCTCAAGCCATTGCTTTCGGTCACCGCAACATTGGCGGTCGCATTTCCGCTCACCCGCCAGCTTACCACCACAGCGATAATCAGGGCAGCGACTACGCCTTCCGCTATTCCCAGATGGAGCAGCCGTAGCCACCATGCGAGTTCTGTCAGAACTGTCGCGCCTCCCAGAATGGCGGCGACAATTACGAGAGCCAGAGCCGTCAAGACTGAATTCTTACCCCATCTGTTGGGTCGATAGCGCATCATAACCACGATGGTAGTGCCAAGTACCAGGACACCAAGCACAGATGCCGAAAGCCTGTGGCTGTACTCAATTAGTGTCGCGAATTCAAATGGCGGAATGAGCTGTCCATGGCACAGAGGCCAGTCCGGGCAGCCGAGCCCAGACCCTGTCACGCGCACAATGCCGCCAAGTGTCACTTGAGCAAATGCCGCCACTAAGGAGGCAACTGCCAGCACACGAAAGATAAGGCCGGTCCTGTCAACAGATTTTCGAGTCTGGACCATTGACGCCAATTCGCCTTACCTGACCGCCCTTCCATTGCACAATCCCGAAGGGGTTTCGCGCCTACGCCAATCAACGCACGAGAATGTGCATCTTTTCACGAACGCCATCAGGAAAGATATAGCATACGCCCTGTTCATCGTCAATTAACCTTGACGCAGTTCGCACCGCAGGGCTAGAATAATCTAGCGTCGCGCGTATTCAAGGCACTCACAGCGCCGACCACCTGTACTGGTACGGCTCGCTAGCTCAATTTGGCAGAGCAACTGACTCTTAATCAGTAGGTTCTCGGTTCAAGTCCGAGGCGAGTCACTTCCCCTCCACATAATTCCCTTACCTCTCACTGACGCCTATTCCCACTCCCTATTGCGATAGCTGCGGCTACTTGGTATAATTGCGGCTACCCCCTTGTCAGATTGGACTCATTGCGCCTAGTCTTACGGGGCATATTTGCAACTGCTTCATTCGACGCCGCACTGAGGAGGGCTGACGATGTTCCTAATGCGATTCACCGCGAGCGCGCCTATTACACTACACAGAAGAGGACGTGCGCAAACAGCTACCGCAGCGCCGTCAGACTTACCTTCCCCAACTCGCACTTCGATACCGCCAAAGCATCCCATATGTACAACTACTACCTCGACGAGTACGAGTACAGCGAAGAGGTCGGCTTCGACGGCTTGATGCTCAACGAGCACCACAACACGCCCACTTGCATGGGCGCTGCGATGAACCTTGAAGCCGCAATCCTCGCGCGCACGACAAAGAAGCCGAAAATTGTGCTGCTCGGCAACCCCTTGCCCATACAGGAAAACCCCATCAGAATGGCAGAAGAGTTGGCAGAGATTGACCTCATCTCTCGCGGCAGGTTGGTGTCCGGCTTCGTGCGCGGCACCGGGTGTCGAGTCCTGGGCTACGACACAATCCAGTGCATAATCGTGACACGCTTTCAGGAAGCCCACGACCTCATCATCAAGACATGGACTACGCCCGGCCCCTTCCGCTGGGAAGGCAAGCACTATGAGTTCCGCGTGGTCAATCCATTCGTGCGCCCGATGCAAGAGCCACACCCGCCCGTTTGGGTTCCAGGCAGCGCAAGCCCGGAGACCATGATTTGGGCGGCGCAGCGCCATTATCCCTATGTGTTCCTCGAGCCGACCCCGGATGTCGTGGGATGACGCCAAGCGCATCTACGCGATGCAGCGAACGAAGCAGGCTACGAGCCGGGCCCGCAGAACTTCGGCTATCTATTCCGCGTGCATGTGCAGGACACCGACGAGAAGGCTTACGAAGTCGGCAAGGGCTTCCTGTCCGGCAACGCAGGCGTCGGGCGCGTACCCATGCCGATGGAGTACATGAACCCACCGGGATACAGTTCCATCGAGGCACGCAGAAGGCTTGCAAATATCAACCTGCGCCCCGATAGGCTCGTGGGCGGCGTGGACAACTCGGGCTATGACCGCGTTGTGCAGCTCAACCGCATCGTCGTCGGCAGCCCGGATACACCGTAATCAAGAAACTCCGCGAAGTGCTATCAGTCGTTCGCCAGGCATACTCGCGGTGGACGAACGACGGCAGCATCAGCCACGAGACACGATGCGCTGCCTGCGCCTGATGAAGGACGAGGTGCTGCACTGCACTCCGCGAACTCGGCAAGGAACTCGAACTTCCCGGCCCCTTCGACGTCGCTCCATAAACAGTAATGACAGAAACTTCACAAGAACATAGCGCGATACCTGATGAGGACGATATGCCAGCCGATAGCAAACTCACAAGCACAACACATAGAAGTCGCGGGCGCGAGATTCACATTCACAAGCGAGGGGAAGCGCCGCCGTATTCTCACTGCACAGCATGAAGCAATACGCGAATGCTGCCGTACCTAATGCCCTATCTCAATCCGCCTCTGTGTACGCCCCAACGCATCCCGGCTTCGGAGCCTCAGACCGCCCCGACTGGCTGAAAGCATATACGACCTCGCGCGCTTCTACCTGTGGATGCTCAGGACCTTGGGCTTGATGAAGTGCATTGATAGCGGCTTCATGGGCGGCTGGATTGCCGCTGAAATGGCGGTGATGTGTCCCACAGGTGCTGGGTCAGCCTTACGCTCATCGACACAGCGGGCGTGCGTCCACGCGAGGGCGAGATGCTGACATCTTCCTGCTCGGCGACGAGCAGACAGCAAGCATCGCAATCGGCGACCAGATCTGCCTCGCCACCGCGTCAGAGCTGAAGACCCCTTCGTCCGACTTCGCGGGCGTGAGATGAACAACTCGCCTCTGCTGGAAGCCGTACATGCACGACGAGCCTCATACACTTGCTGCCACGCGTTGAAGTTCCCACCCTCGTCATCTGGGGCGAAAACGACCGAATCATCCCCCCAGCGCGGGCGAGCGCATCGCAGAAACAATGCCCACACGCGGCTCGAAGTCTTGCGGGCGCTGGTCACCTGCCTCACATCGAGAGCCCGACGAGGTTATTCCCTTTCTTCAACAGCACTTGGGCTAGCAGAATAGACATCTCAAAGAGTTTAAGGAGAACACTAATGGCAATCAATACCGACACAAGCAAGCTGCTCGAAGGCAGCCGGCATTGGCGCGGAAGTCAATCTTGGCTCGTCCACTTTACGCTGATACTGCGTCCCGAGTGGCTTTCGACACTCATTCTCGTCGATAACAGCACGGCGCCTGGACGACACCACTCATTGTGCGCTCCGAAGCTATCGCGCTCGGCGTGAGCAATGCCAGATGGCGCGCGTGCCAGTACGTAACGAGTTTGGCGCACATCGCAGGGCTGCTCGACCGTGGCGCGTATGGGCTCGTGGTGCCGATGGTCAACTCTGTCGAGGAGCGGGAACGCAGCAGAGGAAGCAGTGCGCATCTGCCGGACTAACAGCCCTCTACCCGTTCGTCTACTCCACTTTGTCCATCCACCCCCGCTCTTTCCCATCCCGTCCTTCTAGCACCTATTTCCCCTGCCTCCTTCCTTCAGCGTCATCAGTCATCCCCCTAGGTCCCCTCTCTTTCCCCTCCCCTCTATAGCCCTCTAGCTCCGTCTCCTCTTAACCACACCTACCCTCCTATGCTCCTCTCACGCCGCGTTCCAGAATTTGTTCAACACTGAAGGCCCGACTCTTTACATAGACTTCTTAAGTGACCACGGACTTGCTGCCCGCTTCTGCTTTCGTCTCTACCCCTCGAGTGGCTTAACTCACCGCTTTAAACCGAACTTCAACCAAATAAAACATAGAGACCGACAGACGGACAGAAGGTCCCCATCTTGGGGCGGGCGTCAGCGGAGAGTTGGCACAGGCTTCTTGGGCGGCAACTAATGCAAGTGGGCGAATGAAGAGATCATTCTAGCGTGCAGATCGAGACCGTCAGAGCAGCCGCAATAGCCGAGGACATCCTCTCAGCGAGGGATGACGGTGCTGGGTCGGTCATGGCGACTCCAGCTTCTCGATGGGCGTGGCCTTTCCGAGCCGCAGGATGGCAGGCGCATGGAGACCTCATCGTGAAAGTCTTCTGAGGATACCAAGCGCGCTGGCACAATACCCGGCATCATAACCGCCAGCGCATCGGAGGCTTGCGCGCGCAGAGCAGGCCGGCTGTTCATCACGGCACGCCGGCGACGACCCTGGGTCGCGAAGGCGCCCATCAGCACATTAAATGACACTCGCAGATAGCGTGCAATTGACAACATCCACTTTCGATCATATAGTCAGCAAGACACATGGCAACTGAGTTACTGACAAACCCAAAGAGGTGCAGCATGAAAATCACCGATATCAAAGTCAACAGCAGCTCCGCGAGCTTTATGAGCGAGGCAACGACGCCGTTCGTGGGTCGCGGCGGGCGCCTCATAGTGCGCGGTCTATAAAACTGACGAAGGCATACTCGGCATCGACGAAGGCTCACGTGGACTAGACGTATTAGCGGCATACCTCGACAGCATGAGTAAGCCCCTGCTAGGCGGAGAAAACCCCTTACAGACCAA